TTTCGAAGAATTTTCAGGTAAACCTATCAAGCATGCTGGCACCCCTCACGTGGATGAAGGCAGTCTCTCGGCTATTGATCAGTCTGACAGAGGGCAGTTATCCAATGTTGCTGCGAAGCTTGTGATGAAGTTTATGTGGCTTGGTCGTATCAGCAGACCAGACCTGATGGTTGCGATCAATGTTTGTGCAGGTCACATCACCAAATGGACCGTCAATAATGACAAACGTATGACCAGACTTGCCGGCTATGTAGCTGCAACTTTGGACCGTTGCCACATCATGCGCATTCATGACAAGCCTTCAGACTTGCGATGGTCTTTGTACGCTGATGCTGACTTTGGCAGTGCGCCCGACATGAAATCAACTTCAGGGTACCTGCTTGCGCTTGAAGGTCCTCAATCTTTTGCTTTAATTTTGTGGTGTAGTAAACGGCAGCGTGCATTTTCAAGACCAACGACCGAAGCTGAATTTGTATCGTTGTCGACATCACTTTTCACTGAGGCATTTCCGTTGCTCGAGATTTGCCAACAGCTCATCATTCCTGAAATTGTGCTGAGCTGTTAATTATGAGGACAATCAATCTGTTATCGCCATCATTGCCCGTGGGTTTTCTCCCAAGTTACGGCATTTGAGCAAGTTTCATAAGATCAACGTTGCTTCTACTTGTGAGGCTTTCAACGAGCCTGACATTAATGCAGAATACATTGAAACGCTTAAGCAGCGAGCCGATGTACTCACAAAGTCCTTTGGTGTGTCTACTTGAGATTCTGCACTCAAGCTTCTACGCATAGTGTCGCTCAAGACATGAAGCTTTCATCTCCTAAGTGAGTCTCGCATTCCGTATGCATTCAAGGTACCCGTTTTTACAACCGATGGCATCAAAAACCTGACGCTGTGTTGTCTTCGAACGTGCGTCATGCATAGAGGATGTGACTAAGTCCCATCTGCTTTAATTCTCATAGATTTTCTCGGATTTTGCCTAGTCACTTCCTTAAATTTCGACTTGGCTGTCACTGTCTTTCATCTATTTTGCCCGTGGATGTTTGGCTGCGTTAGCGCTACTTCCACGTGTATTGTCCGTTTAATGCCGAGTTTGGCTGCTTTGCGCCGCCTCTCATGCATCTGTTTAGTGTAGTTTAATTAATGCATCCGCACAGTAGTGCATGAAATCGCCAGGCATGTCGAGATCACCGAATTGATTTCTGCCATCTCTTGCCTGGAATCCATCTTGAAGAGCTGTGAGATTTGCATTCGACCGTAGGCGCCACGAGTAGGATGCATTTGTCAGTGTATATAAGGTGTAACAACCCTGTACAGTTCATTGTCAGGGGGGACTTGAAAAATATGGGGTAAATCTTTCCCATATTACTGTACAGACGCCTCCTGAATGGGTTGTTGATACTTGTTTTGGCCCAAGATGAAAACAGGCCGCAGCTGCTGCCCTGGGTTGGTTCGCGGTGGTTTGTTTGTTGTAGTAAACCCCTTTTTGTTTACCCGGCTGGTTTTAGGCGATTCAAGCTTCATGCTTATGTTTCCGTTTATGTTTATATTTTTTATAGATTTGTACTTGCATTTGTATTCCTCTTTGTATTTATATATAGAGTGTTTGGTGGTTGGGTGGTCATGGTCCTTTTATGTTTAAGTAATAAGTATTCTTTAAATTCAAAATATAAGCTCAGTACATTTAAATACGCACACAGAAAAATGAATATAAATAGAAGTATACATCTCATTTGTATTTTATTATGATTATAATATATAAATGTACATAAAAAAATATAAACGTTAATATACATAGTTGTGCAAATACATGTAAAAATATTTACACACAAAGAATACATACGTACATACGTAGGTACTTACATACCTGCATACGTAGATAAATACAAAATTTCATACATACCTACATGCATACATACACACATACATACATACATGCATACATACATACATACATGCATGCATACATACATGCATACATACATACACACATACATACATACATACATACATACATAAATACATACATACATACATACACATACGTACAAACATACATACGTACATACATACATACATACATACACGCATACATACGTACATACGTAGATGCATACATACATACATACATACATACATGCATGCATACATACATACATACAGGCATACATACATACATACAGGCATGCATACATACATACATACATACATACATATTTACATACATACATACATACATACATAGACAAATATTTAAATACAAAAGTAAATATAGGAATAAATAAATGAATAAATATAAAAATAAATATTTAAATAAATACATATATATATATATTTATATTATACAGATTAGATGTGTTTATCCGTATGTAGTTTGTGCAGGCCCAAGTGTATACAGTATGTTTATGTATGTGTATATGAAAATGTGTCTGTATCCCTGACCGCCCCTGTATATGTGGTGGGGGTGAAGGGGCGTATATATACACATGGTATTTGGGCGTGTGGAACAAAAATCGACAAACGTTGCAGCCAAAAATATTATTATTACAGTATTTTTTTTGGTCGTTGGGCCCGGGTAGAGGAAATCATGCACATTTAATCGCCGTGACTCTGGCCATTTTTTTTTTTGCATGGATGTAAAGAACATAGGCTTTGTGAAATGCATTAGCAATGGCAAATTAGTTTGACTTTAGAACATGCCAAAATAACCGTGTCAATGTTGCCAAACTTTGGTTGCTTATATCTTTCTTCCAGGCATGCAATCCTACAGTTCGTGATTTTGGACACACACGGTTTAAATCCTAGATGTGTTTGGCGGTAGAAAAAACAATGAACATAATTGATCTTGGCATTTCAGTTTGCTTGACCATGGTTAATTTTTGCAGTTGTGATTTATACCAAAGCGCTGTTGACGTCGTCGGTATTGTACAGTTATAGAGCAGCATTGGACGTTTTTCGATTCCATGTCATCGAGGCGCATCAAAATGTTTTCAGCACCTTATTGGATTATATAATTCTCATCATTTGTTGGACTTGGCAAGATCGATTCAACCAAAATCATGGAGGTGTCCGGTTGTATGTGCACATCTCGGCTCAGTCATGGCAAAGACTGTCCGCATCGCTACTGCGGTGGGTCCGCATCGCGCGGTTGGCGCATGGCGGGGCAGCCCGCTCCTGGGCAGCAGTTGAGGGATGGGTGCGGAACGTTTTTTGGATTTGTAACGGTTTCCGCCTCCTGTGAATTCTGCTATTATTGGCTGCTCAAAATTCACGTGCAGAATAGTCACAGTCACCGGTGCGAAAAAATCAATTTCTGATGGGGCTGTTGCCCTTGTGGAAGTTGTTGACCTTTGTTGCACAATGCTCATCCAACGACATCATGGATGGCATCAAAGGCATCGATGTCACCAATATTATCGCCGAGATCATCAATATTACTAATATCCGCAGACACCGGGTTGCCAAAAATTCGGAAAACCAGCGCCAAAAACTGTGCAAGGGATAGTGGCAACTTGGAAAATCAACAAACAATTACACAATCTTTGCTGCACCACACCTTTCCAACAGCAAATCCTTATCATCCATGACAATACTCACTATCTTATGGCCGAAGCAGATTCCAACCTGTCGCGAACAGCAACCACGCAAGTGCACTCGGTCTTGCATGGAAACAATTTTTCTGCATTTTCCAGTTTCTGCTGCCAAGACAACCTCAACTCACATCATAGAAGGTACACGAACAAAAGTGTAATTCCAACGCCCACATTTCCAATTCCCGCCATGCTTCCTCATCACAACTCTCTCCCGCTTCGCCCTTCCAAGCTAGCTTTTGTTGCCTACCCTTGGCCTCAACCCCATTGTTTTTATCATTTTGAATACGGTATATCTATGTGTATATAAATATGTATGTATATGTGTGTTTATTTTCGAAGGAAGTTTAGAAGTCAAACTTCCGGCAATATGGACAGATGAAAAGCAGAGCAGGGAAGAGGCAGAGAGAAGAGAAAGATTAGAAGAAAGAAGAGTAGAAGAGAAAGAGTAAGAAGAAAGAAGATGCAGATGCGAGAAAAGGTAGGAAAGTCGCGAAACACTGTGTTTTTCCAATGATTTGGGCTCCGGAGGGTCGAAAAGTAGGCTCGCTAAAGCGGCGGGTGCGGAGCCAGCTGGCCAGAGGAGAGATGAAAAAATTGCACGCCGTTGTGGCGCGAAGCACATTTGCAAGTCAAAATGTGCAAAACACCTGGTGCTCGGAGCATTTTTGGAAGTTGAGATGTCGAAAAAGTGCACGCCGTTGTGGCGCGAAGCACATTTCGAAGTCAAAAAAGCTGCGCAATTTATGTATTTACTTATTTCTTTCTTTATTTATTCATTTATTCATTTAGTTATTTGTTAATTATACGTGTGTGCGGGCCCGTTCTGACCCATGAGAACTGAGCGCACTTTGCACTGAGGTGAGGACGGTGAGGACGCGAAGTCCTTGCCTTTGCCAAAGAGGAGTCCAGCTCTGACTGGAGATCCACAAACTTGATGATTGTGCACGTGACAGAACTGTTTTTGGTTTTGCCATTGTTTCTGAATTGACACAATGGTCTACGGCGTTTTGTTTGCAATCAATACGCATGCTCACATTTTATCTTAAAGATGCCAGTGCTTTGCAAGTGTCCATTGATCAACAGTTTGAACAACTTCCTTTCTGCTCTAGCTGGTGCTGAAGAAGCTCGTAATCGCAGCAAAAAAATACATACATGTTTTGAAATAAAGACTGTATGATTTCCACGGCATTATTTGTCATTTTGGTCCCACCTGACAGACAAAGGCGGTGAAGGGGGTGACAAAATCTTTGAAACCCAGCTAGCAGCTAGCACTGAAAATTGATTGGTAAAATAATAAATGAATTAGACTCGACACTGTGCATTCCAAACTCTCTCGCTTCTACCTAGGTGCCACAACAAAACCCTTGAAATTTTTTTAGGAACAAAGTCCATGCTGAATTGTGTGCCCTAGATTGAATGCTTGATGTTCCCTCACTGTTTCCACTGATGGCCCTGCATCGTCGCCCCATCCATGAAGCGTTCCAGCGACGAAACGGCCACCCTTCGACGCAAGAAGCGCCAGCGGAAAGTGGTCGCGTCCTCCTCAGAGGAAAGCAAGGAAACCTCACAGGTTGAGAGCAAAAAACTCGATGTTTCAAAACCCGGCCAAGAAAACGAAGAAAACGAAGACACTGATGCAGGTGCTGATGCAGGTGGAGAAGGACGGGAACCCTTGGAACCTGAAACTGCTCCCGAAGTTGATCCTTCCCCGGCCCCGAAACCAGTGGTTGAGCCCGTGGAGGCCAACCAAGGGCGGAAACGGGACAATGCCACGAAGGTTCTGCATGCAGCCAGGGCCTGGTTGAAAGCACCAAGTCGCAAAACTGATGCAGTGATGCTGGAAAGATGTACCGCAATGAGTGGGTTGACCAAAAAAGAAATTGCGGACTTTGTGGAGGCCAATGCGAAAAGGAGACCTGGGGAGTGGTGTTTCACTGTGGTGGATGAGCGCATCAGGGCCAAGAAGGAGGAACAAGAAGCGATTCAGGTGTGTTGCCTTTGGTCCGTTGTTTGGGAAACATCATGTCAGAAATTCATTAAGCTTTAACTTAAGACATGATATGATGTGATGCAGGATGTTCGTGATTTATTGGATGTTCTATATCTTCTGACTATGATACCTTCATGTCCAAAAATGCAATTGGTGCGTGCATGACACGTCCTTTTTGATTTGCGACACAGTCTATGCCTTTGTGACGTGAAATGTTTGCAAAAAATATTAGTTTATATATTGATTGCAAGCAAACACAGATGCTTTTTAAAGTATTCTGCACTATTCCCCCCGGACCTCCCACTGTTGATCGTTTTTTTCCTTCAGTTTGCACTTCTTGCAGGCTGCGACTGGAACTGTTTCTGCACCTGCTGAGCTAAACAAGCCCTCCAGCTCACAAGCCGATGAGCCAGTGCAGTCTGCAAAGGCCGCGTCTGAGGCATCGGCTGCACACAGAGGGCGACGCGCAAAGAGACCGAAGGCAGACATCGCTTCGGACGGTGCAGAAGAGGCTTCGGTCCCACCCATGGCCGCACCCGTGGCCCCACCTGTGGCCGCACCTGGGACCCCACCTGCGGCCCCACCTGTGGCTCCATCTGGCACTTCAACTGCGGCCCCAGAGCCACAAATGGCAGATGCTAAGACTGGCTCCGCTTGCAAAAAGAGCAGTGCCAGTGCCAAACCACCTGAAAAGAACCCACCAGAGGTTGACCACCCACCAGCATTGCCTGCTCCGCCACGGAGACGTGGACCCAAGCCCAGGGCCTCAAAAGCTGTGGCAGCTGTGCCACAGGCTTCCACTGCGTGTCCAGAACTGTCTTGCTTAGACCGCCTGGAAGCCACTCAGAGCCGTCGGAAATTTGCTCCTTTGAGGCCGGGAACTCGAACAGTTCAGTCCACTGCCACCCTGACTGCCACAGCTCCAAAGGCAGCTGTCCAGCCGCCCAGCCGCAGTGGATGTCGGCATCCCAAGGTCAGCAAGAAAGATTGTGCCATGGTGTGCGACATTTGCGGGGAAGAGCTGCTGTATGATGGTTGGAGGTTAGAGCTTTGTGATGAGTTTGATGTGTACAACTCTGCAACCAGCTGAAATTTGGTTGGACCTCTTTGTTGGAGCTCGGCCCTGGAAACATGGTGCCACCGACCGGCTGCTGCAAGGGTGTGTCGTCCTGTCCTATCCTTTCGATTCGCAAGATGTCGATTCTTGTTGTCATTCCACTGCAGTGTAAATGTTTGTGACAAGTCATCAATTTCCGCATTTTTTTGAATGCTTGTCTTTCTTCAGTGGATATTGACATTCGCATCACACAACCCCGCATGTTGTATGGTCACGATTGTCATTCCTAGACTGGGATGATGGGACAATTTGACAGGACCCCCTGTAATTACTAGCCAGAAACAATGTTTCCAGTCATGAATTTCCTAACAGAACCAAATGATTGAGTTATGGTTTCTCTACTCTTGAATTTTCGTCTTGCTGACTGAAGGAGCTGCTTACATCCATGGATGTGGAAGAAGAGCGAAAAAACAAGTTGGGAGCACCTGGCTATACCTCAGATTCAAACAGCAGCTTGGGGGATGCCATTTGCAGGTCTCTTGATGCTGCTACGCAAACATTTTTAGATTTGGTTCACGAGGGCTTCATGGCACCGTGCAGAACTGTGAGCTTGAGAGATGCAACCATTGATTCGAGGAAAACAGCCCAGACAATCTTATCTTGGAGGAGGTCTTGTAATCTTGACGAGGTCTTGATTACTAGAGCACACAGTATTCTATATATATATATTAAAATATCTAGACTCATATTCTCAATACTATCCTGAATTCTCGCCACGACATCCCTGTTGACTTCCTGGAGGTTTCGAGGGAAGCTGTACATCCTGAGCGAAGACTCGGCATGGCAAGAAGCCGGCATTGGGCATGCGTCCCTTGGTCCAGAACTCGAGGAACGGGGTATGGGCCATTTGCCAAAAAGTATAGCGCCTGATGCTTTAGCAAAACAGCAGTGCCGGAATGATCGTATACTGTATATATATATATATTATGTATTATATTTAATACTTATATTTACATTTGAATTCATATTGATATTTATATTTATGTGTATAGGTGCGTTTTTATACATATATATATATATTATAAGTATATATTTACAATATCTATTGATAATTTTTATGACATGATCATTGGTTGAATGCCGCTCCCTTTAGTGTTCCCCTTTCCTTATTTCAAGGATTTGTACGAAGCGGCCAGGTCAGTGATTGGCACTGGCACGAATCGACGACTGCAGTTCAAGGATGAGGAGAGTGTGGAGCCCAGGGAAGCTCAGTCTTAGTCTTGGTCAACAACTGCACAAGATTTGGTATTTGAATGAAGCAAAGTCAGCAGGCTTGTACGTTTGTTGTTGCAGGTGGCCTCGTTCCTCTTTCCTGGAATCTCTTCTTTCTTCTTTCCGTCGATTCATCAGAAATTGCATGAAGACAGGCTGAAGTGTAAAGCCAACTGGCCCTACTCTGGGTGGTCAGATCCAATCCCTCAGCTCAGCAAGGTGGGAAGATCCTTCACGACCGACCTGTCTTTGCCTCGGATGTCTACCAGCTCCAAGGGGAAGGCCCGAGGTTTGAAATGTTGACCCTACCATAGTCAAGTATATTCAAGTATGGATCATAGACTTATAGATGATCATAGGAAGTCTTGAGTTCATAGCTAAGACGCTGCAGATTTCATGACTCCAGAGCACTTGCGAAAGAGCAAAATGGTCGACCTGCCAGGAGAGCGGAAAACCATCATTGTATGGGAAGACCAAGAAGACCAGAAAGATTGGGCATGAATCTCAATCTGGCGCTCGGGGCCATCACGGCCCACTTCAGGGTGGAGTTTACTATTGGGTGAGAGTAGGAAGATGCGCATGGCAAGTGTCATTGTGCTGTAGTGTATGTGCATCACTTATAACATATTTTGTATATATGCACACTATTATGTTATATAAATAAACAAATAATTATATATATAAATATGCAGTACAAATATCAATGCCTGAATAGATAGATATATTAATGTATATAAAGGCGATGGAGAGAGAGAGAGGGATATATATATATACATATTAAACTATTAAATATACGTATTACATATATGCATATTATATAAAAAATATAGATTATATATATATACATATGCATATTATATAAACATATAGAGATAGATGCAAATGTATAATATAACTGCAAATGTAAATGCAACTGCAATTGTAAATATAAATGCACCTATAGATATAGATTTTAGACATATACATATATACACATAAAAACTAAATATAATATAAATATAATATACATATAGTATAAATAATATAGATATAACATAAATGTAAATATAAGTATAGGTATTGGCGTATATAGATATAAATATAAATGTGAACATAAATGTTAACAGAAATATAAATGTAAATGTACATGTAAATATAAATATAAATAAACATGTAAACACACATACATACATACATACATACATACATATATATACATACACGTTTATTTATAATTACTTTCAGATATACATATGTCAATATTCAAGTGTAGTTAGCAGATGACTGTACACGATACGTGGTCACAGCCTATCCCTGTGCTTCAGCAGATCGCTGAGGCTTTGAGCTTTCAAGATGATGAAGGATCCCAAGCGATTTACAGTCAGATTTGCCACGAGCCTGGGTTTGCGCCTGAGAAGCCTGAGACTGACATGGGAATAGGTCAAGTTACTCTTAAGCTAGCGGACTGAAATTAGCCTGTGAAATGAGCATATTTGATAGGGGAAGAAACATCCGGCTATGTAAGCTATTTTAAGGTACTATCCGGGTACCAGGGTTTTGACCCATAACCAACTGTTTGAGGACCGGTTGGCTAGTACTTGAGAATTGGATGCTTGATACTTTTTGAGCTTTGATCTTGGAGGCTGAAGGGCTGGATTTCCCCAAACAGGACCTTCCTGTTGGGGCTCAGGTGCTGGCATTTCTTGAAAAGGTCATTTCTTTTTGGCTCTTCCGGAAGTCCAATGCCAACTTCAATTCCCCCCCGGCTCTCTCTCTCTCTCTCTCCCCCCTCCCCCTCTCTCTTTCTCTCCCACAAACTTGTGGAATTGACCAACCTGCAAATTGATGACCCCAAAGAATTTTCCAATGAGGCGGGTGCTGCCGGCTCCGAAGCTGACCAACCTCCAGGACGGCCCCATGAAAATGGTGACACAGGGATCGAAGAGGCAGACCTCAAACCACGGTTGCTTTAACCCATGGTGTGCCCATGATAGTCACAAGGGGGCACAATGTGGTATGATTTTAAGATATTTTAAGTCTTTCTTTGCCCTGAAAACATTGCGGATGTCACTTGCCAGGACCTGGCGCGACGGATTGCCCTAGTGAACCCCAGCATGGGTGCTTAGCCTTGAATCATGCCACATTTCTCTATATAACAAAATGCACGGGATCAAAGAATCTATCAGAACCTATCAGAACCTATCAGAACCTACCAGAACCTATCAGAATCTATCAGAATGTATCAGTTCAATGAATCATGATGAATCATGTTTTTTTTCTTGGGGGGTGTGAGGGATTTAAATGGATTTGAGGCGGAGCAACAGTGTTTGGACCCAATGGATTGAAAACAAATGGTGATTAATCCCTCAAAGTCACGGACTTTTGTTGGGTTACAACCCTTCTTTGTGCAAGCTGACATGCCAGTTTTTCGCAGCTTGAGGCCAGCGAGAGCAGGTGGCGGGTGAGCTTGCGGAACCCGAATTCCTGGCAGAGCTCAGGGAGACCTTCCATAGCGCAGAGGCCCGCTCAAGTCATCATGGGATGATTTTTCGGGTGGGAAAGAAGAGATGAAGAGTGTGATTTTTGGATGAAATCTGAGGATGTAACCCCAGTAACTCTTCTATTATTGGGGATGTGCCTTCCAAAAGATTTCATGCCTTCTGATTTTGAGGCTCTGGAAAACCAATGCTTTTACCTGCATTCCGCAGCTATTTGAAGCGCTCTAGTGCCTCTCGCTCTTCAAGCACCATCGAACCATCAAGAGCGCTGACGTCATGATGTCCTGCCGGGAAGCTGCCACTTATCATGCTCTGCCTCGTCCACGCATAGACGAGGAGGCTCAAGTGGAGTTGGCTCAAGCGGAGTTTGGTCAAATCGAGGAGCCCAAGGCCTCCAAGTGGCTCTTCCGAGGCAGGGGTCCAAGATGGTCCAAGTGTTTTCTACCAAAGGAAGGTGCCAAGAAGATGGCAAGCCCAAACCAACAGAAACTAGTGACATCTATCTGCTTCATGGGCCACCATAGTCCACGTAGTCTGGTGATGGTGTGAACAACTGAGTGAGCTCAGTTCTTAACTGAAGGTGTTAATTCGGTGATGTCAGCAATCTTCATGTCATTTGTCCAGTTGCCTTTTTTCTCGGAGTCTCCACCCAGCTTTGAACGGATGATCCGTAGCAGGAGTCTCTGGCTCCCTGGTCCTTGCCGCAGTGGCGACAGTGTGCGTCCTGAAGTTCCAGTCGCCAGTGGCAACGGGTGATGCAACGGTCCTGGCATCGCAGAAGATGTACTCCGTCCACTCCGGTCATCCCTTCGTCTCCTGTTCCGCAGGCACCATTCACCAATGTCCGGCCTCCTGGAATGCCCCAGGAAATGCAGGTGGGAAGCTTGGGGTTCCATTTCGTTGGCCGGGACAATGGGATGCTCGTTTGAGATGGGTTTAGGATGTTGTGGGGTTGTAGGGGTGAAGATTTGAATTGGATTTGCTAATATCTATGAATCAAATTTGACTTGCACGAAGGTGATGTGCACAACAGCTTCTTGAAACATTGAGGGAGCAATGCGAGTCAGCAGGGCTCCGAAAGCGGTCATGCACACTGCAAAATGCCGTGGCTTGTCGGGTTGGTCGATGAGTTTCCTATGAGTTTCCTATATTTTATTTCCTTCCAATTCCGGGGCAGGTGGCTACCACTGCCTGCACAAGCTCAAGTTCCAAAAATCGGAAGCGGCCTACCAAGCCTCTGGTGGGGCCTGCCGACCTGCAAAGCAGGGCCCATTCCCCCTGGATGACTGCGCGCACCAATGCGCCATTGGAAGCTCGCAACAAGTGGGCATGTAAACCAGCAAGAAGGAATCTACCCAGCGGAGATGTTTTAAAACCCCGCCATCTCTAGCGGACTCTAGCGTTTATATGCTTTCATGAAAGGTCCTCCTTCTGCTCCTTTCAAGCCCAGCACAAAGGTGCACAAATGTGTGGCGGCCCTAGCCTGAAAACCATTGGCCAAACCCAGAACCCCCAAAAGCATTTTTGTTGCTGTCGACACCATGACCATTGTCATAGTCAGTATATGCAATTATAATTTGTCGTTATCATTGGCTGCTGTTGGCAGCGAAAAGCATCATTGTGGTCACCGGCATCGCATTGACAGTATTTGAATCGCGGGCATCACTATGATCACGCCAGGACCAGCAATATCATCTCTATTTTCATCATTGCTTTCACCAACAACTTTCATCACCATCAGCATTCGGAAAGTCACCAGGCGAGAGCCCTGAGCAAGACGTTAAGCATACCGGAAAACATGCTCCACCAACATGTGGAAAACACGCCTCATTCTCGTTTTAATATGTTTTAATCACCCGCAATCGCCGTCACCGTGATCGAAAGAGTGATTCATCTTACCTTTCGAATCAACATCATCATGTTCATCCTCGTCCTTCTTGATTCTTGCCAATGGACTTTGAGTGCACCAACAAATTGGCCAGTACACATGTCAGCTGTCCTTGGCTCGCATTCAGCAAGATGCTGAACTCCTGGAGAGGGCGATGGAGAGACATGTCAGCCGCCGCATGGCGCTACAGGCCCCTGCGTCAGCATAGATGTGAGTGCAGAGGTCATTTATTGTCAGTCCATTCCAATTAATCTAGTTATACTTATACGTCACTTCCTCCCACGTCAATACGCATGTCCCTGTCACTGTGTGTGGTACTACATAGATTTCTAATCTCGTTCCTGCTCACAATAGCATGCTTAGCTCGTCGTCAAGCTTTTGTACCCAAGTATGTGAGGACAAGCACTTTGGAAGCTTGCCCGATCCTGATTTGGACCTACCTGAATCGAATAGTCCTAGTCACAGGCCAAAAGCAAAACCGCCGGAAGCCCCGGCAACAACAACCAACTACAATATCTGATATCTCACTCAGTCGTGGAAGGTGCTGACCACTTGAAGCATAGGGTAATCAAAAGCACAGGACAACCAACAAACATATCTAATCATTATCCGGGCTGCGGTATATTTCGGAGCAAATCTTGCAGGTTGACGCTCTGAAGATGATCAAGACGGTGGAGTCAATGTTAAGGGTTTTCAGTACAAGTAGAACCAACACAGTGGTTTTGATGTTTGCGACTGAGGAAATGCTGGGCACTCGGGCAGCCACGGGCACTGGGGCAGCCACTGGCACTCCAGTGGACACTCTTCTGGTGGTCACTTTTCGGGCGGCCACTACTGGGGACATCACTCTTGGGGGCACTCCGGAGACTACACTGGCGGATACTACTCAGGTGGAGACTATACCGGTGGCGACTACTCCGGAGACCACGGTCATGGCAGCCATGTGAGCCATGTGATCCATGTCCATCATTATGGAACACACCATGGCAGCAGTGTCTCGCACTTCCATGATGCACACTGGGGTGATGCCATTCACTCAGGCTCCCCTGATGGATATTGGGGCGCAGGTGGTCATTTTCACTCCTGGAGTGATGTCGATGGAAGTGACTACTTGAATGGCAAGGGCCCCGCACCAGTTGACTTTGGTGATGTAGATGGAAGTGACTACTTGAATGGCAAGGGCCGCACCAGTTGACTTTGGTGATGTAGATGGAAGTGACTACTTGAATGGCAAGGGCCCCGCACCAGTTGACTTTGGTGATGTAGATGGAAGTGACTACTTGAATGGCAAGGGCCCCGCACCAGTTGACTTTGGTGATGTAGATGGAAGTGACTACTTGAATGGCAAGGGCCCCGCACCAGTTGACTTTGGTGATGTAGATGGAAGTGACTACTTGAATGGCAAGGGCCCCGCGCCAGTTGATTTTGGTGACATTGATGATGGTGAGACCATTGATGGAGGAGACTTGGCCAGTGGCGAGAATGTTGATTGGTGAGACCATTGATGGAGGAGACTTGGCCAGTGGCGAGACTGTTGATGCTGGTGAGACCATTGATGGAGGAGATTTGGCCAGTGGCGAGACTGTTGATGTTGAGATGCTGGTGGCCGAGATGAGACATTGATGGAGGAGACTTGGCCAGTGGCGAGACTGTTGATGCTGGTGAGACCATTGATGGAGGAGACTTGGCCAGTGGCGAGAGACTGTTGATGCTGGTGAGACCATTGATGGAGGAGACTTGGCCAGTGGCGAGACTGTTGATGCTGGTGAGACCATTGATGGAGGAGACTTGGCCAGTGGCGAGACTGTTGATGCTGGTGAGACCATTGATGGAGGAGACTTGGCTAGTGGCGAGACTGTTGATGCTGGTGAGACCGTTGATGGAGGAGACTTGGCCAGTGGCGAGACTGTTGATGCTGGTGAGACCATTGATGGAGGCGACGTGACCAGTGGCGAGACTGTTGATGACGGTGAGCCCGTCGATTGAAGAGACTTGACCGGTGGCGAGACTGTTGATGCTGGTGAGACCGTTGATGGAGGAGACTTGGCCAGTGGCGAGACTGTTGATGCTGGTGAGACCATTGATGGAGGAGACTTGGCTAGTGGCGAGACTGTTGATGCTGGTGAGACCGTTGATGGAGGAGACTTGGCCAGTGGCGAGACTGTTGATGCTGGTGAGACCATTGATGGAGGCGACGTGACCAGTGGCGAGACTGTTGATGACGGTGAGCCCGTCGATTTAAGAGACTTGACCGGTGATGAGACTGCTGATTCAGTCGCAGATACTTACACTTGATGTTACACAGTAGGAGCTTGCAGTGCAAAAAATTGTGCTGTACAAGTTCGCGCTGCTCTAGCAAATAGATTCACAGATTTGTTAGTTTGCACTTGCTTTTTTTTTGGCTGAACCCGCTGGAATGTTTCTGTCACCGGGCCCTTCAGCATTGAGCACAGCTTTCCAGCCTAAATCTGCCACAACTTCCTCGGGGTCAGCCGCTGTGCCTGGTCAAAGCACCTGTCAGAGGTGAGTACTGAAGCATTTAAAAGGGCGTGGTAGCGATCTGCAGATTTGCTGAAAGTTTTTAGGCTGTTTTTAAGCTATACACAAGTCTTGATTGAATCTTCTTAGCTATTCTTAGTAGGGATTGCCGCTGTGGAGTCAGGATTTGAACAGCCAGAAGGACTTGAGCACTATCTTCCAAATCGTCAAGCGCACCTCGGTCAGGGAAGTGGGGACGGTGCTTTCTGACTGGGTGCCTGAGGGGATCAATTGAATGTTTGAGCCATGGCTTCGAGCACCTGCCAGGGTTCCTTCTATGTGTCATTCATTATATATAATATATATATATGTTCACCATGTGTTGGGCTTTTTTTTTAAATAAATAAATATATATATATATAATGTTTTGTTGGCCAAGTAGCAGTAAATCTCTCCGAAAGATGGTGATGATAAGGGAAACATAAGGGGCCTGCTTGCTCTCCACCCCTGTTATATGTGGTTTCGATTATATTTATATATCAGATTATTGTTTGACCTGTTTGATGACCGAGGGACTGAGGGTCAAAAAGTTGGGGGTCCCTCACTAGGTTCACTTCCCAAAATCCATGATAGATGCAGCATATTGTGGGCCACTATATATGTAAGTTGTGATGATACCGAGTCATTTCTTCAAAGACAAAACGTATGAACCTCGCGATGAACCCCAAATCAAGGGTTGCTAATTATGTATTATCTTTTTTTTGACATTAATTATTCATTAAAATTGGGAATGCTTCAAATTGGCCATTGTTAAATATGTGCTAAACATGTACTAAATATGGAGACCGGTGGATTGGGGGGCCAGACCATTTCCAAACCTCACAGAGAGCGCATGTGTGAAGCAGCAATGGTTCAATTGGAGCACTATTTTCTCATGGAGACTGGATTTTTTTCCTTTTCCGCAGTTTACAAATACTGTGACAGGGTGCTTTGGCCATATGCCTTTAATGGGAGAAGCTGAATCAGGAGTCCAAAAGGTGATGTGTTTTCAAAAAGGGTTCTGGTTTTCTTTTATAAAATGACACGGGGCTGAATTGGAATGGGACCTTCCCTGCTCAGATTTAATTTACTCACTATTGCCAGGCCTGCCCCATAACTAGGCTTCAAAAGGCATCGAAATAGCATTGCCAAAAATTATTATCCTTGAAATTTAAAAGGACAAACTTTCACTGTGGGGAACCGGGGGGGCGTAAAGGAAAAGGCGCTTTGTTTCCTGATTTTAGGTCCAAAATTTGGGGTTCATAGGTTTGTGGGCCACAAATCTTGGGTTCATAGGCCCATAGAGCCATAACTTTGGGGTTCATACACCCAAATGGCCACAAAATTGGGGTTCATATACTCATGGGACCACAGATTTTTGGGGTTCATAGGGCCGTAGACTCATAGATTAATGGGGTTCATAGGTCCACAGAGCCACAAGACTTGTATATATAGCTACCAATTCTGCAATTTTCCCTGGGGTAGTTTCACCCAGTACCGGAGCCCCAAAAGGTTTCCAGAAACCCCAAATAGTCAAAGCCTGCCAACCACACCAACCAGACCAATACCACCACCACCGTCATCATCAGCAGCAGCAACAACAGTAAACTACACTACACAAGTAACAACACAAGCACTAGTGAGTCACTAGTGGTAATATTGCATCATCAAATAAGCAACCAAGCCACCAAGAGAGAGACAAAAAAATACCCAAGAAGCGTGGTGCACTGGTGATCAGCACAGAACCTCTCAGAAAGGAAGCAAACAAAGAGATTAAGAAAGAAAAAAGGAGCGGCTGGTGTGTCAGCTAAAGAGCCCAGTGGATCCTTTAAGGAATGCCCAATTGACTTCGACACGATCGCAGCGACACTCAAGAGAAAAGCGCAAAAGTGACAGAAAAAGCCGAAAATGAAAGCGACAAATCGTTTTTGTCCGCTGACAAGGTGAGAGTTTCAGCATATTTTTGAGGATCTGAAGAAGTTATTGTTTTTCTTCAAAAAGGCAATCGCTAAATATGACATATATATGACATAAATAATACATACATATAGCATAAGTAGTGTCCTGCCCCTGGGGGTCACCTAGCGTGACATACCTTTGGATTTTGATTTCTTGAACTCACTGTAAGTCTGCAAGTCTCTATGTTTGTCAGTGAAATTACTGTATCCACTTTCGGCCATGTAAATATTCGTACGATGCTTGTTGAAGTTGTCAAATCATTCCAACCCTCAGCCAAAAACGAAACTCCCAGGCATTTTCCTGATGTCAACGCACTCCTTGACCGAGCGCTATTTGGCAGAAGATGTCTACGAGGATGTCGCCCTCCCAGATTGGATCAGGTTGAAGATGTACCCAGGAATGGATGCAGAGCCATGCTTTGCTGAGCTGATCCACCTGCTGAGGTCCTAGGCATGCTCGAGAACGACGACACACTTCCGCCGGAAAAGCGGATCCCTCACCGCGAGGTGGGGCTCGGTGGCCTTCGAAGTCAGATGATCAGGGGCAGAGGAATTAGATCCCATCCATTTCTATCCTGATGCTACACAGACCTACTGGTAGTATTGTTGCACGAAATTTTCTCGGACAATTTTAAAGGGATCTACCATTGCTTCAATGCATATCTTCATCTTCTCCATATTTATGACTATACGATGTCCTATACACACACACATATATATATAACAATATATATACTGTATATATATATACACACCACATTTTAGTGTTACACGTGAACTCTTGCGACTGTGCTGGGACTTCTGCAGCCCCCTTTCGGCTCGGATGCGTCGCCCTGGCGACACCTTGCAGGGCTGAAAAAGGGGATGTGCCTTGGCATGGAACGGTCATTGCAACTGGTATGAAGACACCGGGGACACTAACAGGGAGCTTGAAAAAATGGGTACACAAGATGATTTCTGGGATAACTGGGGTTGATCGCAGCTTTTTTTTTAACGCACATACGCCATAGTCTTCGTGTCGAAACTTTTTGTTTCTTTTAAAGTTTTAACAGTTCTAACACAAGAATTAATTGGGTGCAAAACAAGATGGCTACGCCAAGAACGTAGGGTCAAAGTTGAAGACTCAGACACTTGGCCGGTGACCCGCGGCCATCTCCGCCCCAGGCAATGCAGCTGGTGGATCTTGTTCCTACCATGTGCGGCTGGGAGTTTTTTCTCAGCAAACCTAAGGCGTGAGGAGCGGATCGCTGTTGGATAGCTGTTATGTACCAGTGACTGGATGCGTTTGAGGGGCTAATGAATGGAAATTTCTTTCGCTGTTGTCACCCATGAGTATTTTCGATCAGGTAACGTAATCGGCATTTTGTCCATCTATTCTTCCCCAGGCCGCCCAAGGCCTACATCTCGTTGAACTTGCATCTTTGTCCGATCTTGGTTATTGTAGTTAGTAATGTATGTATATAACATATGTCCACTCAGGAACATGCAGAGGAAATAGTCACACATAATTCACATAATAGATTCAAATAGTCATACAACGGCACCGTCATCCATATCATCCATCATCCAAGATGGTAATGCGCCGCTGAGATGTGTCCACGCTGTCTCAGGCTGCAGCAACCCTGGCATCCGCACCTGGAACGGGTGCGTGCTGACGGCCAAGTGGCCTTGCAGCGGAGGGCTCGAAACGAGGACACGCCGAGGGATTCTTGGTCTTGCAACTGAAGGTAAACTGGGGTCCAGAAGGAGGCTTGACTAAAGTTGGATGATAATGACAACAATCATGAGAACGATAACACAATACTCTGATAACTGAAAAAAAAGACTACACAACATATATAAAATACAATTCACACACATTTATATACAATATGCACACGTGTATAGTTATTGGCTTGGTTCCATGGGAGTTGCTTCTCATGTGTGATAAACTTTGGTCAGCGAAGACATTTGGCCACTGTGACCACAGGATGTCCACGAATCGGAGCGCACGCGCTGCTCTTGCCCAGAGGAGTTTACCCTCTGCCTGATGGTGGTTTATTGGAACTTATGCTACCAATATCATTGTTTAAAACACATTTATTATTTATTTTATATTAATTTTGTAAGATTTCTGGCAAATTGTCATCATGGAGGGTTCAACTTCACCACACAAGCTGCCCGGGTCCGGCTTTCCATTGTATGAGCCACTGAAATGAGCATTGTAGGTTCTTCGACAAAGCGTGTGGTGTCAATATTGGAAGAATGTATGTCGCTGGTATATACTGTGCAGAACGCTGTTGGTCACATATGACAAAGAACATGACGGCTCACGCCTTAGCCGTGACGAATGTCAGGAGCAGCTACCCCCAAAGTTGGGCAGTGAGCTGCAGATTTCACATTTCAGGCTATGTGGAAGCCTGGTTTCGCTGCCATCGGGTTTGGCTAAACATGGGGGATGCCCCAATGTATGGCCATTTGAATGGGGAAGTTGTGATAATCATCCATGGCATATTGGCATAACCTGATTTCAGACAAACCCATTTCATGGTCGAGTTTGTTGTGGGACTTGGTGACCACGGTCATGCCACAGCCAGTGCCTGAGAACTCAATAATATTGTGGCGGCAATTTTCGCGCAAATCAGAGGATCCAATTGAGTCAGTCTGAAATTGGGGTATATGGTGTATATATAACTCCCCATTATTAAAACATTTTATATAAATTGTTGGCATTGGAAGCGCACTCTTTTGAATCCCAATTCTGGCCAGGCCACCACCAGCGCCGCCAGCCAGCGCGCCACTCTCGCTCCTGGGGCTGAGACAGGCAGAGCTAAGGCTTGAAGCCCAAGAGGCCAGGGATTTAGCAAAATTGCTTGGCAAATCATTTCTTTTGTTATTTAGATGCTGATGTATGCTATATTTCGTTTGGGTCTGTCCAAAATTCAGAGCATAAAACCAAAGATAAAATGAATGGCCTGGAGAAACTGCATAAGTCAGTCCTGTTTCTTACATGTGGAAATCGTTCAGTTCAGGCTACTCCTTTGGTTTCTTTTGGCGTAGGTTAGGTGAGGCCTCTGCATGGTTTTGTGACTTCCAAGCAGAGGGCAGCGCCGGAGTCCAAAACAACAATTGGTCTCCCTGCGGGGAAAAAAGTATCGTGATAAACTCACGAGTAGCTAACCCCATTGTTACCTGAAACGGGTCGTATAAACCACCCCAAGGGGAGGTTTGGGAAAAAAAGGCCATGGGCCTACCGTCCTCCATATTCTCAACAATTGGCAGGCGGGCATTCACCAAGAAGTCCTGCAGCTTCGTCAGCAGATTCAGCAGGCAGAGGTGGCGGTGCAAATTTATGGCACAGCGGCACATTGACCACCGCTAAATCACAAACAATGCCCATCATCTCGGGGTTCTGGAGGGTTTTTGGATGGCTTTGAGTTTTGGGGTAGATGTTGACCAGTACATACCTGACCACGAGCCTGAACTTGAAGGACCCTAGTGCCTGTCCTGTAACACCGATGCCAGCAGCTTTCAATGACTGCATCGCTGTCTTGTGTTTCGTGGGTCCGCCAGAATCGGAACTCCCAGTTTCGGCTCGCAACCTTCAAGCTCTCAAAGCTTGAGAGTATGGCACAGACATGCGCAGACATATGCATAGATCCTGCGGGCACTCCAGTTGATTTGGGGACTTTTACCCTGATTTCATCTTAAGTGATGCGTTACCCCTTCTGTTTCAAGACGAACTACATATGTCCACAAGAGACTATCCGCTTTTCGCTTGACCACGTCATGTGAGTTGGCATTTAGCCATGGCCTGATCAACCGCTGCTGACACGTACTGCAGAATGCTCGGCCGTTTGTGGACCGCAGTGACCAGATGGTTCCGCTCGGGGCCAGAATCTACTGTAGCTGCAGGAAATGCACAGACTCCGCAACAGCCCCCAGTCAAAGAAGACAAATATTCCCATCCTGAGCCTGCTGTAGAGAAGTTGCTGGAAAAAACGGCAGCTGCAAAGGGGACACAGGTCGAAGCTTCTCTTGCTTCAAGAAATGCGGAGCTTCAAAAACTGCCAGCCAAACTGGACGAACAGGAGAAGCCTGCCCCTGCTGCAGAGAAGTTGCTGGAAGATACGGCAGCTGCAAACCGGAAAGAGGCGGAGGCTTCTGTTTCCAACAAAGCTACAGCTAGTGCACCAACTGCTGAGCTTCAAAAATCACCAGCCGAAGTGGCCAAGGTGGACACGCAGGAAAAGCGCGTCTCTGCTGCGGAAAAGTTGTTGGAAGACAGGGCAACCGCAAAGCGGAAAGAGGTGGAGGCTTCTGTTTCCACTAAAGCCAGTGCACCACCCGCCGAGCTTGAAAAATCGCCAGCCAAAGTGAGCAAGGCGGACACGCAGGAAAAGCCTGTCCCTTCTTCGGAGAAGTCGTTGGAAAGCAGGGCAACTGCAAAGCGAAAAGAGGTGGAGGCTTCTGTTTTCGCCAAAGCCGGTGCACCAACCGCTGAGCTTCAAAGATCGCCGGCAAAAGTTACCAAGGTGGACAAGCAAGAAAAGCCCGCCCCTGCTGCAGAGAAGTTGCTGGAAGATACGGCAGCTGCAAAGCGGAAAGAGGTGGAGGCTTCTGTTTCCACCAAAGCTAGTGCATCAACTGCTGAGCTTAAAAAATCGCCAGCCAAAGTGAGCAAGGTGGACCAGGAAAAGTCCGTCCCTTCTGCGGAGAAGTTGCTGGCAGACAGGGCAGCTGCAAAGCGGAAACAGGTGGAGGCTTCCCTTTCTTTCAAAGCTAGTGCAGAAAGTGTAGCAAATCTGCCAAGCGGGGAGCCTTGCAACTTGGCAAAAGGCACCGGTGCCACAGGGATAGCGCAGGCTAGCATTGTCAGTGAGGCATCTTCCAGCACCCTGCCAAGAAGGCTTGAAGAACTGAAGCAGACTTTGAAAGACAAACAGGAAAAGCTAGCTGTCTCAGCTTCCATTGATGGTGACAGATCCGGCAGACGCTCCAGCTTTCTGCCTCAAGCAGATGCGACTGAAGAGCGGCCGCTGAATATCTTTGGTGGGGTTGGTGAAGGTTTCGAAGATGTGCCTCCGAGAAAGCGCCGAGTTGTACTCAAGCCACCTCCAAAGGTACACAGCCGGGATTGGGCATCAGACCAGTCAGACCAGTCCGTGTCAGAGCATTCCTCTGAACTTAGGGACTGGCGATTGTTGGATCAACCCATCCAGACAGAGCTTGATTCCCCGGCAGGTGAGGCCAAGGCATCCAAAAAGCGAAAAAGAGGAAAGAAGAAGAAGAAAAAAGGAGAAGCTGAAGAAGCTCATGATGAGAAGCCACAGTCCGAGCTTGAGAAGGATATCAAGGGTCCGAGCCAAGTGGAAGCGGGAACAGTCGAAGAGCAGGAAGGCGAAGATGAAACACCAACAAAAAGGGCAAAGAAACGGAAGAAGAGGAAGAAGGACAAGGACCACAAGGAGTCTCACAAAGAAGCCAAAGCCATGCAGGTGGAACAACCCATTCATGCAGATCTTGAAAAAGGAGATGACGGCTCGTCGGAAGAGCAGAATGGCATTATGTCTGTGAGCTCCGGTAGTGGAGAAGATCAAGACTATGGTGTTGTGGAGTGCAAATTTGTTGCAGAGAATGACGCAGCACTTGGCTTGCGGCGCCGCATTCAGCGGCATAAGACCAGGGCATTGGAGGAGGCCCGAAAGGAGGAGAAGAAAGCCAGGAAAAAGGCTGGGAAGGCGGCAGAGAAGGCTCTGAAGGCTTTGCGGAAAGCAGAAAAGGCTGAGGCAAAAGCAGAGGGCTTTGGATTCAAAAAAAACAAAGATGCAGCTCGCAGCTCCCAAGAAGCGGAGTGGACAGCTTTGCGAGAACTGTCTCAGACTTGCGGACGTGTTCAGGATGACTGAGACCTCAAATTGCCATTGCTCCATGTGAAAAAGCAAGAACGCCATGGAAGACGTCAGCATTTTGACTTAGCCTGGCTAGTAGGAGTCATCCCTTCACTGTCCAGTGGGATTGAAGGAGCATTCAAACATCTCAGGATTGGCCGTTTCAACATGTCTCAGCTGCAGTCCATGCCGCAGCATTCCTGAACATTCCTTCCGTTTCCACCAGCCAGGGCACTGCATTTGCGCCTCCGCCCGCGCAGCCGCTCCAGACCGCAGAAGCTGCATGGTTGCAAATGCAAAGACATTTCCTGGAGATTTTACACATGACATATATACTTGGATATACTTGGATTCTTTCGAGACGAGCTTGGCAGTTCTACAGATTTGTCATGATTTTCCCATATTTTTCCGATTAAGTCATTCATGACATCGTCAGCGGTTGCCGCCGGTTGCCCAAGATATACAATGCAGAAACAAAGGCCCCTTTCAAATCTTTCAAGATTTCAAGCATCGAGGTATTCAGGGGAACTTCATGTCAGCCAAGGCCCTTGGTGCTCCAAGCTGGAGCGTTCCTCAGGCGGTTCCGGCAGTTCCACTGTTTTGTTGGGCCAGCCTTGAAAAAAATGGTCCCACTGTTGCTGCAGGCTCCAGTTCCTCCCATGGGTGGTTGGCAATGGGTGCCTGGGCATGAAGGGGGCGGCAGACATTGTCTCTGAAATTTGACCATGTTTGGATACTGCAAGTTGTGGGCTCGGGGCCACATTCTTTTCTGCCACAGTTCCAAGTTCCCGCTTTTTCCTTCTCTGTGAGGTTCCAAGCTATGCTCAATACTTGTTACTTGGCAGTCGTTAGAAGGGCAACTGTCAACTTGTGACGGATGGACACGTGCAGGCACCTCCGAAATCACACACACACATACTTCATTCCAACGCATGAAAGAAAACCATAGAGAAACAGGATCCACGGTCACCAGGACTCACTGAGTGATTCACATGCTCTCCCTTGAGCCTTGAGGCCAGGGCCGCAGTACGGACCTTGGAGATAGAAAGCTCAACCCAGCGGGGTGAACCAACCCTGCCTTGACGCTGTCCGCGCGGAAAAGTGCGGAAAAGTGATGAAACTCCCAGCCCCCGTTGGCACTGTCAAAGATATGCCGCACAGTGGGTGGGATAGGTCCTGTCATGTTCATTAGAGGTTTGTTTGTCATGCGCTATGATTAGATACAACTACAACACTTTCTAGGGGGTAAGAGCTTTGACATGTATTGGCTAGGATTGCTAGCAGTTCGCCATCTCGACGCCTACAAGAGCGCTCGCACATCGCTGCTATCAGATGTGATCCACTCACCCCAAATGATGTGACCATAGCAGCAGCATACCAGCAGCACAGCAGCTTGAGTGCAGGTGATGAAAGAGAAAGTCAAGTTCAATGATGTGCTTAGCTTTGAAGATGCCCGTGTCCCAGTACAGTCACAGTCATCCGATCCGTGGCTATCCAAATCCGTGATCCGCATTGGCCAGACCAGGTGGAGACGCTGAAGCGCATCCACTTGAATTATCGGCTGCTGTATCTTAAGGACGGCACCCATGATGGTTAGTAAATGTTAGTAACTACTAACGGTTAGTAATATTTGGCACATTTTGGTACTGGGGTTTCAGCTCGGCAAGGGTGTCTTACTTGGTCTTACTTTTCACCCTATTGACTCCCATTGATCCCTTATTTGGCATGACCATGGATGACCCCCAATGACATCCGTTATCCGAAAACACATACACTACATACACACACACAGAGTACATATTATTGAAACCGCCTATCACATAATAATTTGTAATGAATGAGTTATTTGTTATTTAACCCTTTTTTCTCACAAATGAATAGCAATAAAATATAACAAATATATTCATTTGTTGCGTGCCAGCAGCGATGCCGATGTAGCGCGAAAATTTGTCGCAGCTGCAGGATATTGTTCTGCCACGGGCCCTCGATGATGTCGGTCCCCCAGTGGTACACCTGGATATGGCAACAATGCGGGTATGGCCAGTATGGTGCCTAGCCGAACCAGCATAGCCCTGGCTCAACGAACTGATGCTGAGGGCGCCTTTGCTTCCCTCCAGCAGTTGATCCACAAAAATCTTGCTGTACCAATCTCAGACAAGTGGAGCTGGATGGGATCTAGGGCATTGTTTGGAAGCATTCAGCACATCATGTAGCCAGAGAAGACGGAATCCTGAAATCATCATGATGATTTTGCTTTGGACGTCCTTTTTGAAAGGCCCTGCATGATATATGTTTGAAGTATTGCTCTGTGGATATGCATGACGTTTAGGCTTCAGGCGGTCTATCTACTGTTCTTTTTTTGTGCCTCGGATATCTCACACGATCTCACATGCTCATGTCGACTGTCTCAAACATTCCGAAACATGCGGTTGACGTCCCGGCGTCATGTGATCGCTCAGGCCATTCTCGAACATCTCCAGAAGACAGATGCGCTTCTCGCGCGTCTGATGGATCAGGTTCGACAGCAGGCGCGGTGACGAAAATCATTGAATTATTGTAAATGATATTTATTGAACCACTATTATGTCCTATATGTCCATTCTTGACTTGACACCTCATGCCACACAGAGGGTCAGAGATGGAATCGATCTTGATCATTTTGGTGGCTGCAGGATATGCAGAGTCTCTTGTTCCTAGAAGATGTGCCTCCTGCCCGTTGGCTGGGCAACTGGTGCTTGGGCGTGGCCATGTCCAACTCTTTTGTTTCTCCATCTTTTTCACCCTTTCCCGCAATCATGTTTTTGGCGGTCCCCAACTTTGGGCCAATTTTGTGACCTTACCCCATGTATTCATACAACATGTTTTACAATACATGGTGACAGCTTTGATGGGCTGTATTGACCCAGCCACAGCCCACCGCCAGGCCTGTCGATTGTCCAGGCAGATTGCTCCAGAACAACGCCAGGAGTGGGTGGTGGGCATGGCCATGAGTCAAAACTCATCTAAATTCTGTATCCTGAAAAGGACGATTTAGTATTTAGTATGAGTTACTACTAAAAATAACCGGTTTCGCGGATACATCTGAGAAAATGACGCCCGGATGAACATTTTTTGCCGCATCCCCAAACCTGGATGACAGAGAGTCCGCGTCTTGGAGTAGGGTTTGTCCATTGGATGCGCAGGCTTTGTACACCAAGATGGCAAATGCCGGTCTGTTTGATGCTCTTGCAGTGTATTTTACTGGCGATTGGCAACAAGGCCCGCGTTGAAGTGCTGCATTTTAACACTATCACTAGAAGAGCTGGTAAAGGTTTCAAGAGCCTCGAGTGGAGTCACCACGGATCAGAGCAAGCTGATGGAGTGCAAGCCGTTTTTCCCCTTCTCAACCCTGAGACACAAACACACACACAAGAGTGTGCTTTGTTTAGATTTATCATTAGCATGCTGGAAGTGACTTTCATTTTCCGTTCTCTTGAATGATATAAATGAGATTAAATGAGAAGGGATCATCTTCGTGCGGGGACGGGCTGAAACGATCACAACTGAAGTGATGGCCACTCTTGCGCACTTTATGGTACTTCATGGTACTTTTGCTTTCTAACCTGTCCATGTTTCTGTTCTGGGGTAACCTTTGAAGCTCGCACCCACGGTCTCCCTTGCCGCAGGCGATGCAGCTAAGAGCGCCGACAACGAGGTGTTGATCCATGCACCCATCCAATGTGGATTAAATGTGGGTCATGTCAACCCTGTATCAAGGATCAACAACATTCGATCACCCCGGAATGGGGGGTGCCATTTTTATGCAGCATAGATCTCCCATTTTTTCCAACCTAGATTGATTCATCCGAAGTTGGCATTCCGTAGTTCTATCATTTTCGATCATTTCTCTCAGGGGTGGACCTTAAATCAGAAGTCCAACAACAGGTGGGTGTTCGCAAGCCGTGGGAACACCCGGCACAACACCATGCAGTTGAGGTGGGCCGCTGGGGACCGTCAAATGGCTATGAATCAATACCTATTAATACCATTTTAAGGGGGATGAACATCCATAAATCCCAGCTATGACTTGGGGTGAACAAAAGGTACCAGGGTTTTGACCCACCCCCAAATATGTCAAGATCAATGGGCAGAGGGATGGGGAATTGCTTGCAGTGCGAGTTGCTCCGTCACAGCCATCCACTGCAAAAGCAGGTCTTGCTGCTTCATGCGGGGAACTCAGACAGAGTTGAACGGGGCCTTTCGGGGATCAAATAGTGTCTCAATCCTCCACAAAGATCTTTGTCCACCTTTTTCCTTAAATAGATGTCATAGACCACCCTAATAGCCTGGGTCACCTGGGCTGATTGAAACATATTGAAACAAGTTCAGAAGCTTGGAAAATTCTTGGTGCTGTCGCTCATGTTCACCATGGGATTTATTTATGGTAGTCCTACCTGTGGCTGGCTTCAGCTGGGCTGGGATTCTGTGGCCCACGTGCTCTTCAGGCCACCTTTCACCCAGCACATCTCCGGAATTGGTTGACCAAGGAGAAGAACGAGGCACAGCATTGGATCAGGGGCTGATGCACTGATGCACTTGGACCAGATCCAGCTTGCCTTCGCCCTTCTTCGCCCTTCTTCACCCTGTGGTCGCGATCAAAAGTACTCTGAATACTCAAAGGTTTGGCCAAGGCTGCTAAGCCTTTTCAGCTTCATGAAAGGCTTGGGTTTGGATCATTCTTGAGCTTGGGTGCTTATGATATCTTATGATGATACATGAGATACATGAGACCAAATTCAATCCAGACCTCTGTGTTCTCACCTTGGCGTCGCTTGGCCAGTGACCACCTCGCAGGATGGACGGAGAGTACTGAAGGACCTCACCCAGATGATGGTGCATGAGTTGGACCAGGCGGACGGCCTGGCAGATGACTAAACCGGGCCACCAGAACAGGTACTGAAACTGAGCAAGTGACACTGGTTCCAAACGCAAAACATGGCTGCCCCACCAAAAGAACGATTCAGAATTTCAATGAATTTGACAACTTCACATCAATACTGGAGAGATCTTGAGGCAGATGACACCTTGCCAGCAGAACAGGGTGAATGAAGCAGTACGGCATGGAGGGATCAGCCAGTCAAACCTTTTTGGGCTGCAACGGGAGGATGTGAGCATTTTTTGGCAGGTGATTTTTTTTGTTACTGCAGTCCTTTATGTTCAGAGTGTACTTCTTAATTTACTCGATCAGACAGTAAACACAGCAGTCCGCGTCACTTTCTTTGTCCCTTTTGGCAACAACTTTTCTCACAAAAAGACGAGCTCAAGAAAAAACCGGTTCTGTATCCTTCAGCCCTTTTACGGCGTGTTTCTCACGGCGCATAGCTCCCCGTTCCCGCATCCGCCCGGGCCATCAGAGCCATGGATCTGAAGATCAATGAGAAGGCAGCCATTGCCCAGAAGCAATTCATGGACAAATGCGCCAAGTTGGTGGAGGGCGTGAAGCTTGGTTTTTGGTCCCGATGCCGAAAAATGATGGGACTCTCCTAAAAATATGACTCCCCAAGGCCTGATATAGTTGCTCTGGTTGCATGCTCCCACAACCTGCGGCAGACAATTTCGCATGGGGAAGAAATTGGGGCGATGGGGTGATAACACATGATGATGAATTGTGATGATGATAGAGATACATTGAGATACATTGAGATACATAGAGATGATGCCATGTCGAGATGGATGATGATAGAAATCACAATGGTTGCGATGTCCAGCTGAAACGAGTCCGCCGTTGCGATGTGTCTTGGGTGTCTCGGATTTGATCAGGAAAGGCGAGTGGCAACTCGAGGCGTGCAGTGAGCATTGCGCCGCTGAGTACGGCAAGCTCTATGGCCGTTTTGGAACGAATCCCTTGCTGGCTGCCACTCAGACCTGCAAGGGTGAATCCCATCCAAATAGGCTGAAAATACTCATAATACTCACCAGAATCCCTCCATGGAGAGAATCCCTCCATGGATTTAGATGGATTTAGAATAATTCTCCGGGATGGGTGAGATGGGATACCATGGATTCGATTTGAAAAGAGGGGTAGACTGATCGAAAGGATTCGCACTTTTTGGCTGCAGTGCCTTTTGGTACTGCTTTTCATTTGCGAATCATTTTTACTCAGATCAACGTAAAAAATGCAACAAAGCTGCTATATTCCTTTGCTAACCGTCAAAATGATATTCGTCTATATACATTCATCTGCAGTATGTAGCCCTTACAGACCCTATCCCAGGCCGGTGGTACAAGTGGATACCAGTGGATACCAGTGGCATGCCATCCAAGCTGCAGGTGAAGGGTGGAAAGAAGGCACCACGCTACTTGCTGGATCGGCAGGAGGTTTGGGTCATCTACAAGCCGCCGCTCCGAAGCCTGAAATCATGTGGGAAGCTGTGCGGGCTGTGAGGTTTCCGGAGCCTGGATGCCGGATCCCATGGGCTCGAAGCCCGGTGTGTGGAATGCCAAAACATGTCAATCTTAATGAGAAGATGATGAGAAGATATGAGACCCATTGGATTGGGCATGGTTTGGCCGAAACAAGGCGTTTACGAAGAGGCACAGAAATATTAAAGACCAAGATATCAGGACCCAATGTGGTCACAACTGGTCGGGTAGCAAGCATACGGTAGGGACAGGGTGCAGAAAGATATCAAGAACTTGGAGTCAAGCTTTTCCAACTTAGTTGAACAAATCATGCCCTGGGAGGGCCCAAGAAATATGCTGACTTCAGTGCTGAATTTTCGGCCACTCCAAGGTTGTGGCAGATGGGAGCCAACCCGGTCAGATGGGAGCAAAACGTGTACAAACTGGTGACTTGGATGAAATGAACTTCTTGCTACTGTACTGTAGTGACATGGCCATTGGGTCCTAGGTCAAATTGCCAGGCTAGAACATCGAAACAGCTTGAAGTCTATAGTTTGTCTTTTTTGTGGAGCAAGCCCCGTCAAATGACGAAATTGGAGGGACCTTGACACCAGACTTCGGTCCCCAGTTCAGGACTGGAGACCCAGCTTCTGGACCTGAGGTAAGTGAAACTAGTTCACTAGCAGAAGCACAGAGGAAGATGCTGGAAGAAAACAAGGCTTCGATTATCCAAGAGTGGCATGGCCTCACCGTGGGGCTCAAGTGGATTGTGCCAACGACTGGGGATCCCTACCACAGGCCTGTGAAGGACAAGCGGGCCTCACAACTTGGTGTCCGTGTCACACGCAGTGATGTGGTGTGAGACTCCGAAACAAGCGCGGCTGATTGAGCTTGAATGATCCGCAGCTGGTTTGAACCAGTAGGATATGTTGATGCATGTTTTTGATCGCACAATCATTCCTGGCACCTTCCAGCAAACCAGGTGTTGCAATGGAACATGGCAAAGACGACTATACATTCATATACTGGGCAGCCTTGCCTTCTGTTGCCACTGGATTGTGTATCCATGGTGCACCCATGATCTCCCAGTGGCGCAGGACTGGGGCTTTGTGCAGCGCTTGGATTTGGAAACCGACGGCCCAATCATCACCGCCAAGACATGGCGTGCCCAACGGATGTTGCAGGCAACTTGGGTCCGAAAGTGGTTCAACATGCAACCCAGGAGCATCCAAGCAACAGCATCAAAAACCAGCACGTACTGTAGACGAACAAGACCAACTCAGCAATTGATTGTTGACCTTTTTGCTTTTCAGAATGCTAGATGTAACTCCCTAGTTATATATCAATAGTTCCCTTGCTGTTGACTGTATTTTTGGATTGCTTCAGGTGCAATTGAAGGAACACATCTTTTCGAAGGTGGGACCGACATTTGGATCTGGCAGGTTGTCAACTTGTTTACATGATCGTGTAGCAGGAACCATGGATAATCATGGAGGCTCTGATGTCATTGCAAGATGCGGTTGAAATTCTTATTTGCCAGCCTTGCAATAATTGACTTGTTCCTCTTTTTCCTGATTTTTCTTGCGTTTCCTGTTGTTTCTTTGGTGTTTGCATTTCTGCACGTGTCAGTTGCGTGTGGAGTCTCACCACGCGGATTTCACCGAGTGGATCTGGGTGACCATGTGAATGCCTGCAAGGCTTACCTGTGCCTGGTGCATGGCAAGGTGGAGAACCGCCTTCAATGTGTGGTGAACAGGTATGCAGAATTGGGAGGAACAGAAGGCAGGGGTGGATGCCGCTGGATGCCCAATTGTGCTGGTCAGCCTTATCAACATTTATATTCTATATCTACACGATTCTACACTTACACATGCTTTTTGTCTACTGTACCTGCCATCATGTGCACCCGTGAGGCACGCAGATTATGGTCAAGCAGCTGGTCCGCAGTGCGCGCTATCGATGGCGGCTATTGCTGTCGTTTGCGCTACCGTCTCCATTCCTCCAAAATGCCACACTTTCAACATCTCTGACAACCATTGAACATGATGAATATTTGATAATATTTGAATATCTGAATTACGATGAATCAGGAATAGATTGATTTATCCATTGTCTGATCATGATGGCATCCAAATTTCTTGGATCAGTCATTGGATTCTAACCCATCTCTCTTGGGACGCTCCCAGAATATCCCACAATTATCTATTGTTGACCCATAAGCCAACCCTATCATTGTGATATTTTGATATTTGTCAACAAGCAGCACAGAAGATGGCCCTATAAAAGGATGTAAACGTATGTAAATGTAATATAAAGTAATTTGTATCCTGCCAAATGCCAAACAGTACCAGATAGTGCTGAAGGGACTCCCCCCAGCTACGCCTGGCCTAGGCATGACGCTCTCAATGATCCATTCTTCGGCAAGTCCAGAAGTGGTTGGTGGAAGCATCGGAACATTCGAAGGGCTAAAACCTTCTTGAAGCCGATCGCGTATTACAGGAAGAAGGACGACCAGTCGGAATACAGCTTGGTGTATGTCAACATTTTGAGTGGTATTACTCACCAGGTGACTCAGAAGTATGAATAACTATGAATAATAACTGCTTTTGAATAGCTTTTGCTGTTTCTTAGGAAACCATTCATAGCCGTTTTGTTATTTATTTTGAGAGTCTAGAGTCTATTCGGCAGGAATATATAAGCCCGAAAAAACTATTCGTCCTGCACGGGAATATTTTTTGATGTCAACTTTGGATTCAGGGACTTGCTGCAAGGCTAAACCAAAATCAAACTAACTGAAAGAAAGACAAACCACACAAACACACAAACAAACAAAAACAAACAAAAATACCAAACCAAACCAAACCAAACCAACCCAACCCAACCCAACCCAACCCAACCCAAACAAACAAACAAACAAACAAAGAAACGAACAAACAAACAAACAAAGAAAGAAAGAAAGAAAGAAAGAAAGAAAAAATGAAAGAAAAAATGAAAAGAAAGAAAAGAAAGAAAGAAAGAAAGAAAGAACGAAAGAAAGAAAGAAAGAAAGAAAGAAAGAAAGTAAGAAAGAACAAGCAAACAAACAAAGAAACAAACAAAGAAAGAAACAAAGAAACAAAGAAACAAAGAAACAAAGAAACAAAGAAACAAAGAAACAAAGAAACAAAGAAACAAAGAAACAAAGAAACAAAGAAACAAAGAAACAAAGAAACAAAGGAACAAAGAAACAAAGAAACAAAGAAACAAGCAAACAAGCAAACAAACAAACAAACAAACAAGCAAACAAGCAAACAAGCAAACAAGCAAACAAGCAAACAAGCAAACAAGCAAACAAGCAAACAAGCAAACAAACAAAGAAACAAAGAAACAAAGAAACAAAGAAACATAGAAACAAAGAAACATAAAGAAACAAAGAAACAAACAAAGAAAGAAAGAAAGAAAGAAAGAAAGAAACAAACAAACAAACAAGGAGGGAAAAACAGAACGCTAAACGATCAACAAAGTAAGAGAAACTAAACATGTTCCGGGGTGATCCTGCTTATTTTTTGTTTTCGCTGTACTTCCTTAGGCAGTTGTTGTGTTTTTTGATGTATTTCTTCCCAAAGAACACCTCAAAGAGAACCTCGAAGGAAGACCGTATTACTGGGGAACACCTCAAGCGGGGAAAGGGGAAAAACTTAGATATTTGCAGGAATTCTCAGTGCAATATGGGGACGCCTAGTTTTCTTTGGATTTCTTGATGCAACTCAAACATTGAGGAATGCAGAACGCATCGATTTTAAGAATTTATGATTGCTTCTTCGTCTTCGCTGAACTCATGTTTACTCAGTTTTCTTTTAATTCTTAGAATCTTGTGAGCCTGGGTTTGGAAAAGGACTTTTTCAAATGGTAGTTTAAGTTTCCAGAATCCCTAAAGCTTTTGTAATTTCACATGTTTTCAGCCCCAAAGTCTCCAGTTTTGCAGAGCCAGGTGAGAATTACCATGCAAAGTCTGGGTCACCCACTGGTCAGCGACGATCGCTACCTTCCCCGTGACCAAGCCATGGCGGATTGTCAGTGGTGTCCCCGGAACTTCCTTTGCGAGGTGCGGCAGGACTGGTTCGACATGTGTGGACCCTACAAGCATCCGGAGCGACGGCGCTTTCAGCGGATCTCCATTGAGAATCCCCTGCCACCGCTCTTCCAAGACATTTTGGAGAAGAAACTGGAGCTGATGCAAAAGCTGGACCCCACGGCTGATTTGTACCAAGGTTGCTTGGAGGAACATGCTGTTTTCAAGCGTCTCTATACAGTTTTGGGATTGAACCACCAATTGGCATGGTGAGGTCCTCAGTACTGGGCTCTGGGTGATCAGCAGCTCATGGCAGACTTTCCCAAAGACGGGGAGTTTCGCAAGAAGGTTATGAGATGGGGAGACCTTACAGCAGGGATGGCCGGGGCCGTTGGTGTGGCGGGGGGCGGAAGCTCCTGCCCCTGCAGGAATACAGATTTGTTGGTAAGATAAGCAGTGATTTTGATTGTGGCATTTTTGGGGAAATCTTGCGGTAAATATCCCGTACCACCGTGGGATTTCCAAGTGCGTGCAGCAGCCGGTGTTTTGATCATGTGTTGTTCAATGTTGTTCAGAACTTGGATGGATGGATGGGTGGATGGACGGATGGATGGATGGAGGATTACCATGTCAGTCATGAGTCAAAAGCTCAGGAATTCGCCGTGGTATCCACCTGGATGCTATGGACCGTCTGTTGCTCTTGAGCCGGGAGCACATCGATCGGATCATGACTGAGTACAAGCCCCCGGAAGAAGATGAAGCTACCTGTCATGTTCAGTGGCACAGCTTTTTCAATGTTTTTGCATTGGCCTTCGTATCGTCTTCCAAGAGCTTGGGAAAGCCGCGGTTTGGATTGGTGCCGCAGCTTCACTGAGGCGTTTTGGGTGTGCCCCGAGTGCATGAACCTGAATCACCCTGACCAGTCGGAAAGATCGAATGAGTGCCAGGGTTTCGGCTTCCTCACCGCGCAAAAAAAATGTCAAGGCGGGGCCCAGCTGCTGGAGCTGGAGCTGTAAAACTGAGCTGCTCGATGTCTCGCGGCGCCAGGAAAGCCCAAGGTGCTTCGATCAACTAAGCTGCCAGATGGCTGGTGTCCTGGCTACATCCCACATCTTCAGATATCTTTAGAGTCTTTCGAATGTCTTGAAAGAACTGGTGGATGCTGGTACTTTCCAATCTCACCATCATAGCCGTCATAGCCAAATCACTAGCCCACTAGCATATCCTTTGTCCCATGAGCTCGCCCACTCCAGTTTCAGCTGCCTTGGCCATCCTTGACGAAAATGAGGCGCGACTACTTGGCAGATCCCACCATTCACCTGATTTGGATTTTGAATCCCATCCTCCTGGAAGCGAGGCGAATGGCTATTGAGAACCTTGGATTTCCATGGATTTCCCATGATTTCCCCCGATGATTGGGGAGCCAGCCGTGTCTATTCTTCAACCCCTCATGCTTTGGACAGTCATCCCTTCGTGGGTACCTTCTGGTGGTCAGATGTTGGTCCCATGGCCACATCGACGGGTGGGGTAACTCTTTAAGCGACCGGAATTTTGATCAAGAAACCATGGCTTGGAGGATGCCCCTCGGGACACATCTACACTGTCTATACTACATATCAATATAGAAGTTTTATATGCCACACATAGACCGACGTGTAATCATGAAGATAGACATATAGATATTTCCAAAGAGAATTACTATATAAGCAAGCGGATCTACATATAGATTTATACAGTGTATAATATATATATATAGCACATGCCTTCCTTCACATACATGCATGCAGCAATGCATGCAATGGACAGACATACATACGTGTAGTACGTACGTACATACCTACGTACATACATGGTTCTCGTCGGAATGTTTCTGCACCTGCAGCCGCTTGATTGTGCACCAAAGGAAGAGTCGCCCGTCTTGGGACAGACCTCCCACTGAAGAAGAAGGAGATATGGCGACTCAGGAGCAGATCAAGTCCCTTCATGCTGCCTTGGTGCAAGATGCCAAGACAGGCCCATGGGGTTTGAAGGGTGCCAGAATCCCTCTGGGCCGTATTGGGTCAGATGCAGAAGATGTTTTTGAAACCTGCAACATCCTTCGTCCACGTGGCCAATTGAGCTTTGCACATAGAACATGGACCTAGTATCAAAAATTAAGGCACCCAGCATGCGGCATGGCCCATGGTTTGAGTCAAGGCGGCTTCGGCTTGAACGAGGAAGACTTGAAGGATGTGGCAGGTTTGGAACCTGAGCAGCACCAAGTGTTGTAATGTGGCTGTATGTGGCTGGCAATACCAAAGGTGGAGAGGTGGAGCTGAACATATCCGGAAGAGTCTCCAGCCCCTGGTGCCAAATATACACCAAGCCCCCAAAGTGTGCTCGTACTGGACCAAGTGTAGTGAGACTCTGGATAGCCACATCATGAGGGTGGTGCCGGTGGCTGTCAGTGCAGACTTGTCGGTTGTTTCTTTTTTTGGTCCTTTTCTTTAGTGGAGAAGGACGTATCATGCAAGGCAGAACTTCTTGTTGAAAGCTGATTCCTTGCTCACCAGAAATCTACAGGTTGTCTGAAAACTGAGGAGACAGCACGAATGCCTTTGTGCTTGCCACCCGACAGTCCTGTCTGGAGAATGCGGCTTCCCGGCAAGGGTTTAGGCTCACAATGGAGGTACAGCCTGAAAGGTAAGGAGCGAATCAGGGTGGCAGCCAATTTCTCGGTGAGACTGAAGAGCCTTGGCTTTTTGGGGGTTGCATCGGTCCAAGTGATCTCAAATTCTTCACATTAGCATGTTTTGATGTTTGATGATGGTTTCTACCATCTTCCATATCTTCGCAGAGCAAATGTCATTGCGGCTATTTTGATTGGCTTGAGGCGTGAAAAACTGTGCCATCGCATGCCATTGCACTGCGATTTCCAGGACATATAAAGAGCCCATTCTGGTGGACACCGACGTTCTGCCCCTGAAGGCTATCATGGCTGAGGACCGTGGGTTTCATGGTTGAGGGATATTGTGGAACAGCAATAATTCAAGCAACGCCTTCCGAAGGATTCGTATTCTACAAAGACTACAAAGCACACACAGATATATCTATACATGTGCGGCGCGCACACAGACACACACATATACAGTACAGTACAGCACAGTACCATACATTACATTACATTACATTGCATTACACTACATTACATTACCGTACATTACATTACATTACACTACATTACACTACATTACATTACATTATATAACATTACATACGTATATATATATATATTATGCATACATGATCACACACACACACATATATATATACACATACACACATGTATATACATACATATAAGATTATAATATATATATATATATATATATATGTATGTAAATATACGGGCACGCATAGAACATGCATATGTACAGAGAGCCTGCTGGGCTGGTTCAAATCGTTAGACATAAAGTTCCCAGCGGTTCGGTGCAGGACCAGGATGTGGCCCCCCGATCTGCTCCTGTGGATCAGTGGATGGAGGAACCAGAAGAGCCACTGGCTGAGCAGGACAGGGTCAAGGACTTCCAGGCGCTGTTGGGCCTTACAAGTGGCACCAGTCGTCCGATAATGTTTCATCATATTTATTCATTTAATCTCATTCCTCATTCATAGTATCCACCCAGAAAGCAGTGTTTAGTAGGGGATGACACCGGGTAACCACATATTTGGGACAATGGAAGGTGTTTAATATTAGGGGGATGCCATTATTATTTTCGGAATTTCGCTTGACGACATTCTTCAAATCTGGGCGTCCTCGACGAGGGCGCAATTTTTCAATAACCTTTGGGATGGGGGGCACTGCATCAACCCCCGAAAATGGATGTCTTGACACGTTTCATACTGATCCCAAATTTGGGGGTCCCGTTGGTCAGTACTTCATTTTTTGAGATACCCTGTTCATCACGCTTCAGCCCTGTGAACATTATTGCACATAGTTGAACAGCGAAATGCTTCCAGTTCACTTGCAAAACAGTACGAAATCAGGGTGGCGAGCACAAAAGGCTTTCTGTGTTGAATTGGTTTTGTCTGAAAATAGGCCACTTGAGAAAATTGATGGTTCATCAATGTTAATCAATTAATCATAAAAAAACGGCAACGGCAACAATCGAGAGTATACCGGACAGCCAACTGATACCCATCCACCGCTCCAGGCGCGGTTCAAGCCAAGGGAGAGCGCCAATTCCAAGAAGCGCTCAGCCCCAGAACCAGAGCCGCAAGCGCCACAGCCGGAGCCGAAACGAGGACGGCCAAGGTGCAGCCCAGAGCCCCTGGAGCAGAAAACTTTCACCCTACTGAGTATATATATATAGATATTTATTTATGAATATTTATGGATATGTCTGGATCCTTATGGATTGATGAATTTGAATCCTTTGGTTTTTCTTGTCGGGTCGGGTTGAAGTTGCTCACCAAAGGGTCGATCATGCTCAAACAGGCAGATGTTGCCAGTGGGACTTTTTGCAGGTCATGGCAGAAAGTGGAGTCCGCAAACGGGAAGGTTTTCTACGTGGATCCGGATACTGGAGACATCAGTCACGAGCGTCTAGCAGATTTCCAGGAGACCAAACCAGTGTGGGAGATGGTCGAGTCCAAGACAGCCAAAGGAGTGTATTACTACCACAATCACGACTCAGGTGTTGCTGCGCGGTGAAGGGTTGGGCTGGGATTCCTTCTGGTGTCCCTGGTGGTTCTGGTGATGATGGTGATGATCATCCCATCATGGTGATGGTGATTGATCTGATCTGATTGATTGAATGAATGATTGATTGAATGATTGATTGAGTGACTGATTGTTTGATGATGATGACGACCACACCAGATCGAACCATTTTTTGATAGGAACTGACCAGCAAGGCACATCAAAATCATCAAAGCAAAGCGCCACCGCAGCGCCGCAGGCGAGACACGCACGCGAAGACCACAGGGAGTGCCCATCTTGAATGACCACTTCGACAATGTGGACGCTGCCACTGCCCCAGCGGCTCCAGTGTCCCCTAGAGATGCCATGGTGGAAGAGGGCATCCCCTGGCAACGAGTGGAGTCCAGGTCGAAACCAGGCCATTTCTATTATTTCAACCCGATTTCAGGCGGGCCAGTTTGTGATGATTTGATGTGGTGCCACATGTATTGTGTTGGTTTCTAGGCCTAAGATGTTGACTGAAATATCTGGAAATGGAGCTTGGGGGTTCTTGGATTTGATACGTAGAAATGGGTTGAGAGACAAGCTGGCGACACAGATAGGCGGATACTTCACTCATGCACCCAAGCATGAGCGGCATCTCCAGCTGTTTCTGCCGCCACAGGAGAGAATGAAATCAAACCGCCCCGTGTGCAGGCCGCGGGGCGGGGTGTCAATGGCTGTAGATCACAAAGGTTGGCAAAGGCCAGCCAGGTTGGGAAACCACCAATTGTCATTGCACTTTAATGATCTTTAATGCCATTCTCAAGCGAGGGCAACCCGTGGATTGTTTGCTGTCCAATAAAGAAAGCCGGAGACCTATACCCTGGGTCAACATTCATGTCGAGTCCGACAGATTGGATACACAGGGGTAGATATAACGATAGCTAAGACTAGATCAGATCAGATAAGACTCTATATATATATATATATACATATATAGAACTGATTATATACATAGATTAGATCAGATCAGATAGTCAGATAGATAGATAAACAGACAGACAGATAGCCATTTTCAGTATGACATTCAACCAGTTCCAGTTGTTGAGCCCTTCGCTTAGCAGTTTCCAGGAGCCCTGGAAACTGCTGGAGTCAGCAACTGCCGGGCAGTGGCAGCTTTGGTCAGAAAGCAGGAAGAAATGTGGTTGAGGGATATGGGTATGAAATGGTACGAACATGTTAAGAACAACTCAGGAAAGAAACTCAACTCTAGGGGGGGTTTCAAGATCCCAGATTTGGTTGTCCTTGAGACTGCGTTGATCTGGTTGTTTGAGGTGGCGTCTCACCGCTGCGCTGCATGAATTCAAAATCAGCCTCATTAATTTCAGTTTCACGTCATAAATCAACAACATCTCTAGATTCATTGTCGAAGGAAGTTTAGAAGTCAAACTTTCGACACCGACAATATGGACAGATGAAAAGCAGAGATGGGCAGAGTCAGAGAAGAGAAGAGAAGAAGAAAGAAGATCAAAAAAGAGAAAGTTTCAGAAGAAAGCATTTTCCAGGTGCGCGAAAAGGTAGGAAAGTCGCGAAACACTGTGTTTCTCCAATGATTTGTGGCTCCGGAGGGTCCAAAAGTAGGCTCGCTAAAGCGGCGGGTGCGGAGCCAGCTGGTCAGATGAGAGATGAAAAATTGCATGTCCAAGTCAAAATGTACAAAGCACCTCAGCTTCGGAGAAGTTGCGATGTCGAAAAAGTGCACGCCGTTGTGGCGCGAAGCACATTTCCAAGTCAAAATGTACAAAACACACCAGCTCCAGACCACTTTTGGAAGTTGCGATGTCGAAAAAGTGCACGCCGTTGTGGCACGAAGCACATTTGCAAGCGAAAAAGCTCAAAACACTTCACGTTGGGAACGCTTTTTGAAGTTGAGATGTCGAAAAAACGCAGGGCGTTGTGGCGCGAAGCACGTTTCGAAGTCAAAATGTACAAAGCACACTAGCTCCGGACCACTTTTAGAAGTTGAGATGTTGAAAAAGTGCACGCCGTTGTGGCGCGAAGCGCATTTTGAAGTCAAAACGTTAAAAGCACCAGAAGTTCGGACCACTTTTGGACGTTCAGATGTCGTTTCGCGTGGCAGGCGCAAGGGATTGTGCACCTTGTCAAAAGTGATTTTGTAGCATTTCCAAAAACGATGGCGGGCGTGGGACGTTTGAAGAGGACCTGCAAAGATGCATTTTCCCTGGCAGGCGCAGTACAAGAGACATGTTCATCAGTGATGTTAGGAAGTCCGCGCGCTGATTTCCTGAGAGGGGTTGCATTTTGGAGCATCAGATCTTCAGGTTTGCTGAGGTGTTTTTGCGTGACAGGTGCAGCACTTCGTATCACCCCGTATCACTTTTTCGTGGCAGGCGCAGTAGTTTAGACAGGTGGAGTCGAAGAATCGCAAAATGCTTTGGTGCGAGGCCGTCAGCTCTGCACTCAACTTTCCATCTTTGAAGGAAGTCTCGCCGAATTGCTTCGTTTTTGATGTTGTCAAGTGCAAAAAATGAGGAAGTCTCGCAGAATTGCTTCGTTTTTGATGTTGTCAAGTGCAAAAACTGAGGAAGTCTCGCTGAATTGCTGCGTTTTTGATGTTGTCAAGTTCAAAAACTGAGGAAATGTCACAGAATAGTTTCGTTTTCAAGCTTGCAGATAGATAGATAGAAAGATAGATAGATAGGTAGGTAGGTAGGTAGGTAGGCAGGTAGATAGTCAGAGAAAGAGAAAGAAAGAGAGAGAAAGAGAGGAGACCTCAACCACCTGTCGGTCCATCAGTGGCTTCGCTCTGCCATCCGTGATTATCAGCAACCAACCTTTCCTATAGGTTTCCTATTTCTGAAACTTCCGCCACCGCCTTGTGCGGTACTACTACTGGTAGATTCAATGATAAATTTCCGAGCGAGATCTGAGATCCGAAATGAGGTACTACTACAACACTGTGACGGGTGAACGGACCGAAGTGCCTCCCTCCTGCGCCGTGCCCGCCTCGGCCCCCCCGGCACCGCGGCCGGCGCCGGCATCGCCTGTGCGGGCCATGGCGCAGCCAACGAGGCCATGGAGGGTGTCTCAAGACCAAGAAATCTATCTTTATCAGATCATATCATTGAATCTTGCTATTAATTATAAATTATATTATATATGATTGTTGTCTAAAAACATTGAGTTAAGTATATCAGCAAATTCCTCATGAGTCAGCAATGTTGATTATCATTTTTGCAATCAAAATGGCCATAGAAGGGGGTAATGATCTCCATTTTGTGACAATGCCACATGCCGGGACAGTTAGATGGGCCTATGAAAGTGGTTCCCCATAGCTGTTATTCAAGGTAGCAAGGCCCATCATATTGTAGGAGATGAACAGTTCGCTGAAGTCAATCTGCGAGCGACAGAGGCCCCCTGCAACTGATCTACCGGAGGGCTGGGAGCAGCACCTATCTTCACAACATGGGAAGATTCTTGGAACTAACTCAGCTTGTCGTGCAGTTGCTGGAACACTCTAGCTACAGCTAGAGTAGCGATGGAGGGAGGGGGGGAGAGGGGGGGAGAGAGAGGGGAAGAGGGAGGGGAGAGAGAGAGAGAGAGTTTACTTCCTTTTAAGGCTGTGGAGGGCAGGCCCTGCAGAACTGCAGCCGTTTGGGTTTACGTACTGCTCCCCTGATCATCTCACAGAAATTGTCCCTGACTGGCACTTCAGATGGAAGCTAATGCAGCGGCAGCCTCCAGCTGAGGTTCTACTACATTAACACCAGGACGAAAGAAACCACTTGGACCCGCCCGCCCAAGCCTGCGAACGAAGAATCTCATTGGCAACGCCGTGAGTCTTCCAAATATCCAGGAAAGTTCTATCTTCAGAACCTTCGAACTGGTGAGACCAAATGGACTTAGAGGCTTGTGGTCTCTTTCCATCTCTGCGGCCCCTGAAGGGAAACACATAAAAGTGTATACTAAATTCCCAGCCCCAAAGACGTGGATGGTTGAGTAAAAGTGAGTGGATTGTGGGCGGGTCAGAAAGTTTGAACCCGCTGTGTGCGTTAGAGCAACGGCAACAGAACTCCGCTGCTCAACTTCGCTGAAGCCGAGTGCCGAAGCAAAATGCATCGTGTTGGTGGCGGCAGTTGGCGGCTGGGCGACAGGTTTCCCACCGAGTCGGCTGGTTTGGTATCAACTATGATCGTCAATGCGACCCTTCACGACCTTCACCGGGTTAATTTCAAGGGAAATTGAAAGGGTTCCCATGGCTCACCAAAATTGAAATATGATGAAATCCTAGCCAGAAGAAAACGGATTGATAGGCCAATGGGGGCAATACCAACTGTTAAAGCCTTCGTTGATTGATGCCAGCAGTAGCTTTTCTTGAATTATCATTGCCTTCCGGATCCCTGTTAGTCAACCGGGGTATTGCTAACCCGGGGGTTGATTGTGAACCCTTGTGCGGTCTTAGTGAGCTTGAGAATTGCCAAAATAGTTGAACATTGGGAAGACCGTTAATCTTGGGTACAAGCCTACATCTGTATTTGTAAACAATTCTATGGTTAGATACATGGATGGATAGATAAATAAACAGCTAAATAGACCGTGGATGATTAGATGCATAGATAGTTATATAGATGAGTTATATAATGGTCATATATATATATATACATACTCTCTCTCTCTCTACATATAGAATATAGATGAGCCAGCAAACACATGAATAAGTATATAGGTGAGTGAACAAACATGAACAAACAATAGCTACAGTTCTCTACGCACAGGCACGCACACACATACACACACACACATCACATATTAATTATACGATAGTAAACGTACATGTTAGTTGAGTCTAGTATATGATATCGCTGATATCGCTTATGGGGTATGAAGCACCCCGAGTCATAGCAATTCTGGAGCGCTGCCAGGGGGTGCAGGGGCAGATCGCTGAGATCCTTCGCCAGCAGCCCAGATCCAAATTCGTGCACTGCGACGTATAGTCCAACATTTGGGGTGCTCTTGCTGCAGCCCAACAAAAGCCACAAAAACGTGAATGTCCATTTATCACCAGACGACGAAACCTCCGGATCAGACAAAGACCCCATCACTGAGTCACTGAGGATCCGTCTTGGACCCAGCTACCTTGGAAGGCAAGGAGCAGGACAAGCGCAGGGAACCCTGGTTTGTCAGCGCAGGTGCGGGATGATTCCGTGATTCCGTGTGGCATGGATTTTCCAGTTGCCAAGGAAGGTGGACAAGTGGTGGCGAACTTTTCAGGAGTGATATCGTCAGTTAAGCGTGGTGGTAATCATGGTGACCCCCACGTCTCACAGTCGTGGGTTGACTTTATGACATTCCAATAATACATATTCCAATGATTCTCTTGGTGCATGCTGACGCATCTCGGCGTAGGCATTTTCTCAGGTGCCATAGGGCACCGGTGGGAAAGTGACATTCTGGTCAAGCATGTGTTTTGTTTGCCTTGAGGGAGGGTAAAGATGAATTCCACGCCAACTATATGAAGGCAGGTTCGCCTCCAATACTCAATACTGCATGACAACCAACAATATTGACGATTTGTACCACCAGCCATTCACCACCAAGCGCCCGCTGGTTGCACCCTGTGACCGCTTTCGTGCAAAGGCCTGGACGTGTTCTACGAACAGGGTGCGATGGATGACATCTTGTCGCCGCTCAGGGAGAAACTTCCCAAAGCCGGCACGCCACCGCAGGCTGGGCATGGCTGAAGAAGCTGATACCCGACGTACCACTTACACAGGACCTACACAATGTATCTGCAATGTATTCTGATGTGGTAAGCCCAAGGGTAGGTCTGCGATGTGGGATGGTTTATCCATGTTTATGCTAGCAGGGGGAAAACCGGCCAATAATTTGTCACAACGCATCCCATCCATTTCTGGTCAAATTTGGATTCTTTGTATTCCCCATTATCTCCCATAACTATAAATATATACCATCTGGTTATTTAACATAGCCATCGAAAATCCCCAAAATAAATGGAGGTTTCTAGCTGGGAAAATCATCTATTTCTATGGGCCATCTATACCATGGCTATGTTAAATAACCAGAGGGTAAATCGCCATCAAATCAACATTTATAATTGTCAAATCCCATGAAAAATCACCATTTATAGTATTCCCAGGGATTAGTATTCCTATAGTGTTTGGTGATTAAACCATTAAATTTCCTTAATATACCGATTTCCCCCAATTATTCTCCATGCATTCACCAACTTCAGGGGGCCAGGTGTGTTTTGCGCAGCAGCTGGTCTGCGAGATCGTCGCCTTCGCCGTGGTGAAGCACGGCTACCGGGCCAAGGCGCTTGCCACGGAACTTTTGCTCGATCCATTCGTTAAGGCGTTTCTATGTAACTGATATATACATATATGTATATAAATGATTATAAATGTATATAACATATATTAACACATACAATATAAACTGGGGTATAACTGGTATATATCGAGGTATAATTGGTGTATCTGTATCTGTATAAGTATGTGTATATATATATATATTATAAATATAACAATGTACAACTGGGACTGGGATGGAATTGGTACATAGTTGGCTGCATAATTCACCAACAAAAGGGAAACGCCTGGATTTCCTGTCTTCGTTTCAATCGGCAAAGCAGCCGGTAAGTGTGGCTGATTCATGCACTTGATTCGATTCAAGTATGTAAGAGGACATGGTTTGGTGGGAAAATGCAGCACGTGTGGATTACTTGCAAGCTGTAACTTATAACAATTCTAAAGCCTACCGCGTTGGAATGGGGTTTCCCATGATTTACAGTAATCTGTACATTGCTGCCAGATTTAAGACTTCGCAACACGTGCAGCTGCCTTGCGGCCAGGTCTATGTGATTCGACATGGTCTCGGGCAGCAGGTTTGCCGTTTGCTGTCGGCGCCACAAAAGTACCTGCAGCTGGCTGCGGTGCGAGTGCTCCGCGCCATCATTGGCACCAAGGAGCCGCCCAGGGTTGGCAAGGGAAAGCATTGTATCCAGCTGATGTAACCGGATCTGCAACTCATTTCTTTTGCGGAATGGGGGTTCAGGACGAGGCGTACGTGCGGTATGTCTCCAAGAACAATTTGCTCACACTGCTCCTGCAGAGTGGGGAACCCCGAGATGGTAAGTGTAGGGACCTGGGTCCGTCAAGTCCATGGCCACCTGGGTGAATGCAATGCTGAGGCTTTGAGCGGTGCATCATGCCTCCAGCCCTAGGCAACTGGGATAAGCTGGGATGGGCAAACAGGGATGGGAGCAGCTGCAGGCAGCCAGGGGAGCAGAGAAGTTGCAGCACCACCGGTTTTCTCAATCAGCTTCTGCATCAGCTTCTTGATCATAGAGAGATCGAGTAAAATCTAAAGACAGCTCATGGAAAGACATATTATATCAAGATTGGCAGGCTATAGGGAGCCAAGCCGCTCGAAATTTCACAGCCAGTCCGCAGCTTCTTTGGCTGACGCAAAGTAACCTGTAGCACTGCAGGTTTCTATGACCATCCCATACCATCCCCACACTCCCAAAGCGTCCAAACCGACTGAGAGGCACCAACCTCATGGCGAGTGCCACCTTGGAACTCTTGGAGTTTATCCGTTCACAGAATCTAAAGGTTTTGGTGCGGACCTTAGAGGCAAGACCGGCAAGATTGGCAAAGGCTAGCAGCCAAAAACGACAAAAACAATGGGATTTTCCCAAGACAAGAATTTCCCAAGGTACGGAAAGATCACCCCCGGGTAAACCACGATTTAGGGTGATCGAATGTATTCCAGCACCTTTCTGAGCCTCTCAGCTGCGACCTTCCCAAGGTTGAGAACATTTGCAAAAACCACGGGCCGAGAGCTCAGGTTGCTCAGGGCTCATCCAACGCAAGGAATCCATGCCTGTTTCACCTGCAAAATCCTCAGGGTGAACCGCAATAGCGCAGCGATTGGTGAATGCCTTGTTTTGTAGATTTCACACACCTCAAGAGGTTTTGAGGTGACCCTAAAATAAGTCAGGATGATGCATTTGCTGCGCCGAGGCCCTGTGTGTTGGCTAACGTAGCTGGTAACTCCTTTTAGGGTCACCCAGCCTATACATGCCTATACAAAGGTAGAAGCCTAGATGCTATCTGGTTCACTCCAATATACTCCAATATCATAGGTCTACATAATTATCCACTATTTTTGTTGGGTTAACACCAAAAAAAAACATTGTTTGGTAGCTTTCAAAGACCCATGGCTGTCGGTGCTTGACCCGTCCCAAGGCCCTTGCTGAAGCGCTACGCTGATCGGATGAAACCCCTCGAGCAGCCGCTGGGCCAGCGCTTTTTTTGTTGTGTTGCAAGGCTTTGGCGCTCGTTTTACCAGGAAATGAAGGGATATGACCCGCAAAGAATGGGGTACATGTCAATGTTGGGATGTGTTTGAAATTGGGGGACCCTTGAGCAGTGTCGGTAGTCTCCCCATGGCACCCTTTACAAGAGTAGATCATCTAAATTTGGTGAATATTCCAGCCATTCAGGCTAAATTATGACAGGCAATGGCCGCATCCGATGCTCAATACTGATTCGAATTCGCACCCCTGCAGGTGAACATGTGGGGATGGGACAACATTTACACCCACTTTCAACATCTTTTCACCACATTTGGCGGGGCTGAACATCCATCTGCCAGCTACTTTGATGTTCACCAAGAGTACCAGAGTTTTGACCCATAGACAAACTGGAATGAGAATGCGCCACGAGAAATGGTGATATATTCCAGTCGACGCAGCTATGCCATCCTTTTGGTTGAGGCTTTTGCTGAAATACCAGCAGAACCTGGAGGTTGAGAAATATCCGCCTGAGCAGTATGCCTCTGGCGGGCCCGTTGATAGTCACTTGTTTGCATAACGAATCAGAGCGAATCGCGCTTTGCAGGTTGGGCCTGGATGTCCTTACAGGGAAACGCAGGTCGGTTTCCAGAATGGCTTTGTTTTCCCCGTTCATCAGCGCACCTTTGGGGCCGGTATTTGGTCAAACTGACTTGGCCTACAAAGAAAACCTTGGAGATGGTTCTGATACTAAATAATTACAACCAAATCTCTTGGACCATATTTGCTGGTCGGAAATTTTGAGCCATAATGGCTTGTCTACTTGAAAAGGGATCCAGACATTGAGACTGAGTGCCTGCAGCCCGTCTTGAAATTTATTTCAGAACCAAGGTGCTGGGGGCAGAGCGCAGAGGTGCAAAGCCGGTGTAAAGTAGTGAAGCAACGCCACTCAGCTGGCAGGGGAAGAAATCGAGGATCTTTCTTGCAATAGGGTAGCCCCGAGGACCAACGCAACATGCGAATCTGAATGACGGGGACCACCCCCCAACAACGAGAGACGGCTTAGATGAATCACATATGATTACTGTATATGTCATATGTATTCAATGGTCATGAGATCTCATTTGGCGGGTGAGTGGATTCAAATATTGTCTATTTCTATCCCTGACCTGGGATGACGCAGCACGGTTTGAAACCTCCAACTAGTCACTTGTGCCAGGCGCATGCGAAGCCCTGGTCGAGATGACTCGGGAGAGGATGACAGTTACTTTGAATCCTTGGATGATGATGAGGCTGGGCACACCCACTCTGGAACAAGCAGGCGATGTTTACGTGGAAACCCTTTAGCTCGGATGATTGGCAATGAGACCTGTGTGAGGGTTGGGGCCCTGGCAGGACCCACCCCCCAATGGAAAGGAGAAGAGTCCGGAGACGCAGCTTGTTGTCTCCACCAGCTTGAGACCCTTTGCTAGGCCCAACGTTGATTACAGTTAAGGCCCAACAGCTCCGTTGACCGCATTTCAGAAATTTGATTTTGAGGCCGTGACTTTATGTGAGAGGAACTGCAAACCACGTTATGATCATTATGCTGGTTCGGGATCAAACCTATTTGTTCCTACTTGATTGCATTCTTGTCGTAGTCGCACCTGGCAGACACTATCCCCCACTATATATATATATAATTTGCAATATGCTGGTTCCATCCCCATTGCTTCATTGTTTGCTATATCCCTGTGATTCCCAATGTTTGCCGTTTAAATATGTTTAAATCACTTTTCAGCTGGTTAAGATAGCTTCTCAGCTGCTTTTTAGCAGCTTAAAACCACCATGTTGAGCTGCTTAAAGCATCTTAAAGCATCATATGTTGCCCAAATGTAGCGATCTTTTCGGACCCATCTTTGTGAGGTGATGGCTTGCCAGGGCTCCTCGGCGGATATGCCGATGCTGACGAGGTGATTTGTGAGTTCTTTGGGTATTGACAGTATCGATCTCAATTTTGATGAGTACTATTTATCTATTTGGCGGCATTTTGTTCTCTTGGGGTCCCAAGTTTGGTCCATAGAATGCATACCCATTTCTCTGCTTCAACAGAATCCAAATTTTTAAGGAAATGATGTGCATTTGAGCTGGAGTCCGTGAGTTGCCGGGCGATACTGGACTTTTGACACGGAGTCATGGTCTTTGGCAATCCGTGTGTATTTGTGTGCCCCAAGTTTTGTTAAGAGCATCTGTCTTTGAGCCCACAGTTTCTGGTCACTCTTGGTGTTCAACCATCACATTTTCAGGGACCATATGACCCATACTTCACTGAAGACGTTGATAGTGGCTTGATGGCCAGGAGAATACGGCCGAGGCATCAGCAGGGTGGCCAAGTTCTTTGAGTTGCCGGCCCTATGCTCCAGCCATGGCGTTCCAGTGGTCCAGTGGTCCAGTGGTGAATGCTGTTGAACCCGAGGCATAGCCTCTGGTACTCAAACTCAAACATGGCCATGGAAAATCCCGAGTTTCAATCTGCAAGAGGTAAATGGCAGTGTGCATATCTATATCTATATCTATATCTATATCTATATCTATATCTATATCTATATCTATATAGTCTATATGTATATCTATATCTATATCTACATCATATATATCTATATATATATATGTAATATATCTATAACATTTAATAATTTGTATCATTCGCCAACGGTGATTTTTGTAGATTTCCCATGATTTCCATTGTTATGTTTGATTGCAGAGAAAAAGAACCCTGTCCTGTCGATTTGAGGCCGAGGCTGACCCGGCAAGACATGAGGCCCTCCTTGATGCGCCTAAGTGTGTTCATAAATAGATGAAAATATGTAAATCAAAAATACACATTAACACACACACATATATATACACATATGTATATGTATCTCTATATATATATAAGTATCTAAATATGCATGCACATAGGTATACAGGCAACACATGTGTAGAACACACACACACAAACACACACACAAACACACACACATACATATATATATATACATGCAAATCTATGTATGTATGTATGTATGTACGTACGTAATGTATGTATGTATGTATGTATGTATGTATGTATGTATGTATGTATGTATGTATGTATGTATGTATGTATGTATGTATGTATGTATGTATGTGTATGTCTATGTCTATGTCTATGTCTATGTATATGTATATGTATATGTATATGTATATGTATATGTATATGTATATGTGTATGTGTATGTATGTATGTATGTGTGTATGTATGTATGTATGTATGTATGTGTATGTATGTATGTATGTATGTATGTATGTATGTCATGTATGTCATGTATGTCATGTATGTCATTGTATGTCATGTATGTCATGTATGTCATGTATGTCATGTATGTCATGTATGTCATGTATGTCATGTATGTATGTCATGTATGTATGTCATGTATGTATGTCATGTATGTATGTCATGTATGTCATGTATGTCATGTATGTCATGTATGTCATGTATGTCATGTATGTCATGTATGTCATGTATGTCATGTATGTCATGTATGTCATGTATGTCATTGTATGTATTGTATGTCATGTATGTCATGTACGTCATGTATGTCATTGTATGCATTGTATGTCATGTATGTCATGTATGTCATGTATGTCATGTATGTCATGTATGTCATGTATGTCATGTATGTCATTGTATGTCATGTATGTCATGTATGTCATGTATGTCATGTATGTCATGTATGTCATGTATGTCATGTATGTCAGGTATGTCATGTATGTCATGTATGTCATGTATGTCATGTATGTCATGTATGTCATGTATGTCATGTATGTCATGTATGTCATGTATGTCATGTATGTCATGTATGTCATGTATGTCATGTATGTAATGTATGGTATGGTATGGTATGGTATGGTATGGTATGGTATGGTATGTATGGTATGTATGTAATTAATGTATGTATGTAAGTAAGTATATAAGTATGTAAGTATGTAAGTATGTAAGTATGTAAGTATGTATGTATGTATGTATGTAATGTATGTAATGTATGACCCTCCTCTGTACTACCAGTTTTTTTTCCTGGGGGTTCAGTACGCTTTTTAAAAAGCACTATTTTCCAAAAATCTAGCAGACAGTGGGTGAGGGTCCCGGGGCATGATATGGGGCCAGGAAAAAAATATCATACCAAAAAAGGCCCAGAATTTTTTTCCTGAAAGCTTCCTGACGTACAGTGACAGGAAATCAATTTCTGTCTGTTGTGATTGAGGGGGGGTTGATCTACTAGTCTGTGTATGTAAGGCATCAGGAAATCAATCATGAATGACTCTGATAACGGGTAAGTTTGTAGAATTCCTAAGGTTAGTAGCCAGGAATTTGAAGGTGGATGGATCAAATGGGAGTTTACTAGAACATATCTAAATGTCAAACCCCAGGAAAAAATGTACCATGATTAATTGAGTGGGTATGATTTTTTAAATGACTTTGCAAAAGGGGTACAACCACATATGTTCACCTTCACCAACCAAAAAAGTGACTTCAAGAGGCAAAGGCGCAGGGGTCAAAAATCAAATCCAAGGGGCTGGACCTTTTTTGGCTGAATACTTGCGGATGATTTCACAGGTTGGCCCACAGGAAAAAAGTCGCGTCACCAGGCCAATCATCCACTGATAGGACATGATGGGCCGAATTCAAGAATTTTGTGTCAACGCGCGCCCAAATTGCAAAACACATGTTTTTTTGCTGAAAATACAGTTGTCCTTGCAAAAGGATACAGACACACATGTTCAGCTTCACCAACCAAAAAAGTGACTTGAAGAGGCCGAGGCGCAGGTGTCAAAAATAAAATCCAAGGGGCTGGACCTTTTTTTGGCCGAATTCTCGCGGATGATCTTCAAAGGCTGGCCCCACAGGAAAAAAATCGCATCACCAGGTCAACCATCCATAGATAGGAAATGCTGGGACAAATTGAAGAATTTTGTTCCAACGTGTGGCCAAATTTCAAAACAGGCGTTTTTTCCTGAAGATACATTTGTCCATGCAAAAGGGTTGCGCATTTTCCTGAATTCCTGTCCGTGGTTACCAAATTAACATAGTGACATAGATAATCTTGAACCATCTTGAGCCACGATGATGGATAATGCAGGTTATGATGTAGAATGTTTTTGGAGGCATGCAATGGCAATAATTTTAAGAAATCATGGGGCTCACCACGAATCTGCGACATGGCTGACTTGCTGGTGAATGCAGGGTTGCGCATTGCTGGTGAATGCATTTGTGAAGCCGTGGCATCCGAAAAAATGCGAGCTGACTCCCAGGGAAGTCAGGTAACAGGAATTCATTTTTTTCCGTATCAGATTGAGGGGGGGAAGATATGGCATGTTACCAACGCAAGCATCCAGGAAATAATTTTTTTACTTGGATACCAGAGGGGTAAATTTATTGGATGTTGGACGTTGGGCACCAGGAAATTAGCAAAGAAAATTCAAAAAGGTGGTTGGAAGTGAGATTTCGGCTTCAGAGGTTAGGAGCCAGGAATTTAAAGCTCTAAAACCTCTCTCAAAGGTTAGGGGTCATCATTTTAGACCGATTTTTTTCTAGGACTGTACCCCACGTTGGAGTACAGACGGGGATATGTATGTAATGTATGTAATGTATGTAATGTATGTAATGTATGTAATGTATGTAATGTATGTAATGTATGTAATGTATGTATGTAATGTATGTATGTATGTATGTATGTATCTATATATGTGTGCACATAGGTATACAGACAACACATGTGTAGAACACACACGCATATCTTTACATCTTTACATCTTTACATACATACATACATACATACATACATTTAGTATCGATGGAAGTTGAAGTCAAACTTCCGACAGTATGGACAGATGGAAAAGCAGAGATGGGAAGAGTCAGAGAAGAGAGAAGAGAGAAGATTAGAGAAGAGAAAGGGTCAGAAGAAAGAAGATGCAGGTGCGCGAAAAGGTGGAAAAGTCGCGAGACACTGTGTTTTTCCAATGGTTAGTGGCTCCGGAGGGTTGAAAAGTAGGCTCACTAAAGCGGCAGGTGCGGAGCCAACTGGCCGGATGAGAGATGAAAAATTGCACGCCGTTGCGGCGCGAAGCACGTTTCGAAGTCAAAAAGCTAAAAGCACCTCGCGTTCGAAGCATTTTTGGAAGTTGAGATGTCGAAAAAGTGTACGCCGTTCTGGCGCGAAGCACATTTCGAAGTTAAAAACTGACGGGTTCGGAACATTTTTGGAAGTTGAGCTGTTGAAAAGTGCGCGCCGTTGCGGTGCAAAGCACACAATGTACAAAGCACCGCAGCCTCGGAGCACTTTTGGAAGTTGAGATTTGAAAAAGTGCACATCGTTGTGGGCGAAGCACATTTCCAAGTCAAAATGTACAAAGCAGTTCAGCCTCGGACAAAACACCTCAGCCTCGGAGCACTTTTGGAAGTTCAGATCGACAAAGCGCACGCCGCTGTGGCGCGATTTCGAAGTCACAATGTGCAAAGCACATCGTTCTCGGAGCACTTTTTGAAGTTAGGATGTGGTTTTGCGTGGCAGGCGCAAGGGATTCTGCACCCTGCCAAAAGTGAGCAAAATGTGAGGGTTTTGTAACATTTTCCAAAACGATGGCGCGCGCGGGACATTTGAAGAGGATCTGCAAAGATGCATTTTGTGTGGCAGGCGCAGTACAAGAGACATGTTCATCAGAGATGTTAGGAGGTCAGGGCGCTGATTTCATGAGAGGGGTTGCATTTTGGAGCATCGGATCTTCAGGTTTGCTAAGAAGATTTTGCATGACAGGTGCAGCACTTCGTACAACCTGGCTTCATTTTGTCGTGGCAGGTGCAATATTTTAGACAGATGGAGTGGAAAAATCGCAAAACGCATTGGTACGAGGCCAGCAGCTTTGCACTCAACTTTTACATTTTTGACGGAAGTCTCGTAGAATTGCTTCGTTTTTGATGTTGTCAACTTTGAAAATTGAGGACGTCTCGCAGATTTTTTTTTTGACGTTGTCAAGTTCGAAAATTGAGGATGTCTCGCAGAATTGTTTCGTTTTTGACGTTGTCAAGTTCAAAAAATGAGGAAGTCTGGCAGAATAGCTTCATGTTCAAGCTTGCAGAAAGACAGACAGACAGACTGATAGATAGATAGATAGATTGGTAGGTAGGTAGGTAGATAGGTAGACAGATAGACAGATAGACAAGTACAGCTACAACTACCACTACATTACACTACTACTACAACTATGCAACGACCATTACACTACACTATTACAAATACACATGCAAATATACAATGACATACAATTACCACCACGCTGCACTACTACTACTACTACTACGACGACGACGACGACTACTACTACTACTACTATACTACTACTACTACTACTACTACTACAGCTATACAATTACCACTACACCACACCACACCACACCACTACCACTACCACTACCACTACCACTACCACTACTACTACTGCTACTACTACTACTACTACTGCTACTGCTACTGCTACTGCTACTGCTACTGCGACTGCGACTGCTACTGCTACTGCTACTCCTACTACTACTACTACTCCTGCTACTACTACTACTACTACTACTACTACTACTACTACGACTACGACTACGACTACGACTACGACTACGACTACGACTACGACTACGACTACGACTACGACTACGGCTACGGCTACAGCTACGGCTACGACTACGGCTGCGGCTACGGCTACGGCTACGGCTACGGCTACGGCTACGGCTACTACGACTACGACTACGACGACGACGACTACTATACCACTACGACTACGACTATACGACTACGACTACGACTACGCCTACGACTACGGCTACGACTACAGCTACGACGACGACGACGACTACTACTACTACAACTACATTACACTACATTACACTACATTACACTACAGTACTCTACACTGCACTAGTTACACTGCAGCACACTGCAGCACACTGCAGCTACAACTACAAATGCAGCTACAACTTCATTACGTTACACAACACTACACTACGCTACACTGATTACATTAAACAAATACCACTACATTACACTACGCTACACTACGCTACACTACACTACGCTACACTACACTACGCTACACTACACTACAACTACGACTGCATTACTTTACACTACGCTACACTAATTACATTACATTGCATTACATTGCATTACATTGCATTTACATTACATTGCATTACATTACATTACATCACATTACATCACATTACATAGCATTACATTACATTACACCACAACTACAACTACAATTACCACTACATTACACTACATTACACTGCACTACACTACACTACACTACACTAATTACACTACACTACAGCACGCTACAACTACACTACACTACACTAGGCTACACTACACTATACCACACTACGGTACACAACACTACAGTACACTACGCTACATTACACTAATTGCACCACACCACAACTACAACTGCAACTGCCGCTGCGCTACGCTAATTACACTACAACTACAACTACAACTCCACTACACTACACTACAACTACAACTACAACTACAACTGCATTACACCACACTACATCCAGCAGTTGTGGGTGAGGTGACCACTGCAACCATTGCAACCACGCTAAAAAACACAACTCCAACCATCTTTCGGTCCATCAATGGATTCGCTCTGCCCTCCGTGATTCACAACAACCAACCTCTCCTATAGGCTTCCTATTTTTGAAACTTCCGCCACCGCCTTGTGCGGCACTACTGGTATGCATGTTTGTTGATTGTTGAGTGTGATTGTGATACATACGGCCAGGGCGAGAAGCCAAGCGAGGCGCGCTGCGGTGGTGGCAAAGCCATTGGATGGGTCGAAACATTGCTCCATACGAAAAGGAAACATGTTCAAACCATCTGTGGGTGCCTTGTTTCTTTCCAACAAAATGGTAGCCCGTTAGCCTCTGTCGGACTCCGTTGGTTCACTTCGGAAACCCATCAGCCCATGCGCCACGCGCCAGACCGGGGAAAAGTCCTTGGGCCACGTGTCCAAGCGTCCTCGCACGCCGGGTGGCCTAGCAAATTCTGAAACCCGCGGAGTGGCAACAGGGATTGGTACAGTAGGTAGATTGTAATCCTGCTGAAATGTGTTGCACACAAAATCAATCAGCACGGTCAGACAAGTCACAGTAATCCCAGTGCTTTGGAAACGCAGTTTCCAGTCTTGGTGGACAAACTGCCCCATTAAGAATGCTTGGCATCTCTGGTTAACGAGTCAACAGTTTTTGTCATGTACAAGTGAGTACTGGGCTAGAAGCATGGTTGAACCTGTACGAACTATAGTATAAACCTGGGGTGAAAATCCCAGTTGGCTGTGCCAAGGGTGGAGCCTGAAACGGAGGCCGAAAAGAGGCGTGGCCACGGTTTCCAAGGGTTGGCAGTTGGACTGTTGCGTCAAAAAAATATTGGAACTGCAAGGAAAATATCTCAGCCAAAAGGCCAACAGAACAAAAATCACAGAAACACTGGAAAGGAAATCCCTTCTTGGACGCCAAAACTCGTGCGGTATTTTTTTTCCTGCGCCAACTTTATCCATGCGGTCCGTGGCAACTCAAAACTATTCCCAACTTGATGACTGAAAGCTGCTGCGTGGCCATCTTTTTCAACGAGCGTGGTGGGTTTGGCGTCACATAGCATCACCCATGCTGTTTAGCAAGTGGAAGCACGACGAAGGCTAGAGGAAAAAGAGGAATGAAGCGAGCTTCCAAAAGTTGTTTCCACTATGCAATCCTACATAATCCTACCATATAGTGAGGCCATTTGAGAGCACCTTCATGGCTCCAAAAAATGGTTGCACACCCGCTGCGCAGTCAGTGAGAGTCCGGGAACTGCAGCTTGCAGGAGCTGCCAGTGAGTGGCAAGCGACATCAAAACGTCTCCAGCACCAAGCAGCCACTGTTTTCACATTGATTGACGATTTTCACTTACCATACTGTTTGGTTATATACCCCTTTGCCACTTTCATTTTTGACAATTTTTAGTGGTTATCTGACATCTTTTTTGGTATACAATTCATTCACGTATTGGATTTCCATTTCCTCGGGGTCCAACATCAGACAGATGGTTGATCACATTTGTTAATCAAACAAGAGCAGTTGGTTCAGGAAACAGATCCCAGGGGCACAGCTTCGGGTGCGAGGAGTGCGAGGATGGATCCGGTGGAAAAGAGGAGCGGCGTTTCATTGATGGATTCGTGCTTGGAGGCCCATGGTGAAAGGATTCCTTGACCAGTTTTGACAAGCTTTGTATGGATATGTGATGGATTCCGATGGCAATTAGTTGTTTAGCGGAACCGGAAGATTCATCCATCCCTTGATGGTGGAAGACAAGCTGCAAGGGGTTCGTGATTTCAACTCAGACGCTCATCCGCTGCTCTGGATCAGCTGTCGCCATGGGATTGTCGCGTCGCTGAAAGGTGCCAGGGGGCAATACGTGCTGTTGGCGTGGAATCATTAAGCGCATAATGTTAACCTTGGATTAATATGGATTAATAACTCATTGGTTTGTTGAGCTCATTGGTTTGTTGAGGTGGGAGATTCTTGATGTATAATTTATTGATTATCACTATTTGAACGCAACCCCCACATCGAATAGTGGGATTAAACCCTTGGCTCAGGAGGTCATGGCGAGCGAGGTGGTCGAGGAGAAATGGGAGCCGCTGGGAAGCCCGGAGAAAGCCCGGAGCGTGAAACCTAGTGACTAGTGTCTGAGTATGGCATAGATCCCAAATGGCACTCTTAAAAAGGAAAGTGATCATTGACCAGTGGATTTAGGTGTGCCCGGTGTGCCAGCAAACACATATGTCATATGTACGTGCCGCTGTCTATTTGTCTATCTGTCTATCTGTCTGTCTGCCTGTCTGCCTGCCTGCCTGGCTGTCTGGCTGTCAGGCTGTCAGGCTGTCAGGCTGTCAGGCTGTCTGGCTGTCTGTCTGGCTGTCTGTCTGTCTGTCTCTCTCTCTCTCTATCTCTTTCTCTATCTACCTATCTACCTATCTACCTATCTATCTATCTACCTATCTATCTTTCTGTCTTTCTGTCTTTCTGTCTTTCTATCTATCTATCTGTCTATCTACCTATCTACCTATCTACCTATCTACCTATCTACCTATCTACCTATCTACCTATCTGTCTATCTGTCTATCTGTCTATCTATCTATCTACCTACCTACCTACCTATCTATCTATCTATCTATCTATCTCTCTCTTTCTCTCTCGCTCTATCTCTCTATCTCTCTATCTCTCTACCTCTCTATCTCTATTCATGTATCTCTCTATCTATCTCTGTATCTCTCTACCTCTCTATCTCTCTATCTATCTATCTATCTATCTGTCTGTCTGTCTATCTATCAATCAATCAATCTATCTGTCTATCAATCAATCAATCAATCTATCTATCTTTCTTTCTATCTTTCTACCTTTCTACCTTTCTATCTTTCTGTCTTTCTGTCTTTCTATCTATCTATCTGTCTATCTATATATCTATATATCTATCTATCTATATATCTACCTATCTACCTATCTACCTATCTACCTACCTACCTACCTACCTATCTATCTATCTATCTATCTATCTATGACCTATCTGGTCTTTCTGATCTATTCTATCAATCTCGTCAATTTCATCAGTTTCATCATTTTTTAAAATCTATCTCATCTATCTTATCTATCACATCTATCTCATCTATCTCTTATTTATCTATATCTATCTGATCCATCTCATCTATCACATCTATTTCATCTATCTTATTTTTCTATATCTATCTGATCTATCCGATCTATGGGGTCTATCTGATCTATCTTATCTCTGACCTATCTGATCTATTGAATCTATCTGATCTATCTGATCTATCGCATCTGTCCAATCTTTCGCATCTACCCAATCTTTTGCACCTACCCTATGTATCCAATCTATGAAATCTATCCAATCTATCCTATCCATCCTATCCATTCTATCCGTCTAACCATCTATCCATCTATCCATCTGTCCATCTGTCTATTCATCTACCAATTATCTACCCACACGCGCACAAATACACACACAGAGAGAGAGAGAGATAGAGAGAGAGAGAGAGAGAAAGAGCGAGGGAGGGAGGGAGAGGCAGAGAGAGAGAGAGAGAGAAAGAGCGAGGGAGGGAGGGAGAGAGAGAGGGATATACATATATAGATAATGTTTCTACACAGGTGTGTAGTGTGTGTACGTGTGTGGAGTTTGTAGCAGCATTCAAACGTGTGTAACTGTAGCGCCACCCGGAAGATAGAAAAAACGCACATGATCATCACAATAGTGGGGACTAACTTTTTTCCTGGGACTCTTGACCTATGTGAGCATATTTGAGAACATGTGAGAACATGGGAGCACATGTGATTACATGAGCACATATCTCATGTACTAGGTTGAGAGCATGTATAATGTACAAGACACAATGAAATTAAGTAGCCATCCCCGAGTTCTTACATTGGGAGACCTCCATTTGATTCCAGCCTGGCTGAAGGGTGTAGGGAAACTTATGGCTAGGTGTGGCTAGTGAATCCATGAGGTTTGGTTGATGAGTTGATGCTTTCCTGCCCAAAGCTGAGCAGATGCAAAGACCAAAAAAAACCAAAAGGTCAGCAGATGTATACATAGATGTCAGAGAGGGAGCTTACATAGATGCCAGAAAGCATGCGGTGGCAGGTCAAACACATCATGTGCCAACATGTTGGAACGGCTGCTTAGTTCTCTACGGTCGCTTCTTCCTTCCCTTATTGTTTAGCTTCATTTGCACTCTGCCATTCGCGATGGATGCAACCGTGCATCGACCTACGGGCTTGTGCCATGGCATGAATCCTGTGGGAGGGGCGCGCAATTGCTAACCCCAAAACTTCAGGTTGGACACAGAGACCTGAAGCAGAGAACAACCAAATATTGTCCTAGAGTGAAGGTGAGGTTCCGCATTCGTTTTCGGGGCGGCGTAGCATCCCTCTGCACTGAAATAAACTGCCCAATCAAACACTCGCGGAGGGTGTCATGATGACAGGGTGCAAAGTATTTCAACACTTGGATGCTCCATGCCCAAGTACTCCAATCTTGGACCTTGTTGGATGTGGTTGTCAGACAGCAAGTGGTTGACGGCTTTTTTTAGATCTTTTGAGTAAGTCCCCTGGTTCCTGCAATTCCTGAATACCATCATCAATAACATTAACCCACATTAACCCACATTAACCCACATTAACCCACATTAACCCACATCAACTTGCATTAATTAATCGATATAAATATAAATATAAGTATAAATATAAATATATAAATAATTATAAATATATAAATATATAAATATATAAATATATGTTCCCATGTTTTGCTGCCAGTGTACCTGCCGCAGCTTCGAACTTTTCAAGGTGCATGGACCGACCGGTTGCGATAGGTGGGTTCAGTGGCATAGCTTCTACTTTAGCTCTGTCCCTTCTCAGGTCTTTAGCTCAGGACCACCGCCCTGTCATTGAGGTTCCTTCAGTGCCCATTGAATTGCCACCTCTTGAGTGCCCCAACATCTCCTACGAGGATATCCCCTTTTGGACCTTTTTGGCTGGATTGGGAACTGGACTGTTGATCGGGCCTGCGATTGATTTCATTTGGCTTCTCAGACAGAAGTGGAGACGATTCATCTGGAGGGTATCAGTTCAGGAGCAGCAGGGGAGTGGCAGGTTGTTCAAGATCATTGCATGAGCAGCGGGGCCCAGAACGATCACCAAGCTGCCGAGAATAGGCGCCTTCGTGACGAAGTGAGAGAGCTACGTGAGGACCTGAGGAGGCTGACATTGAGGGTGGACCATCAAGGCGACCAGATCAGCGAACTCAGTGCTTCAGTTGTCACCTCAGCTTCTACTAGCCAAATCAGTGGGCCAGTTTTTGAAGCCGAGCCGAGCAGTATCCCACCTGCTCCCACTGAGAGCGTTCGCAGTCAGCGACCTCCCAGAGTGCTTGGTTCAGCTGGTGGCTACACTTGGGCTGAGCGTGAAGCAGTAGCTCGAGACATTGGTGCCTTTCTGCGCCGGAGTTTGGACGGTGCGAACCGTGGAGAGTCTGGCAGAGACAGGTTGAAGAACCTCCAGTCACGCGTCTACGTCGTTGTCCGTGACAAAGAAGATCGAGTTCTCAACCCAGTGCGTTTGTGCAAGACCTTCAGTGAGGTGCGAGCTTTGTGTCATCGAGGTGACGATTGGGGCGACTCAATTTTCATCGGATTGCCTTCTCAGGCCGAAGCAGCTATTGCAGTGTCAGCAGCAGGGCTGGGCTGGCCTTCACCTGAGCAATGAGTGCCTTTCCAGACGGAGAGGTTGCCAATCCGCCTCTTCAAGAGTCTGGTGAAGGATTGGACACCCTAGAGGGGGCACCTATTGGCCCTCGCGATTTTGTGCTTGCGCCTGAGGCTGGGCCGCTGGAGACTGACTATCACGTTGGCCGGCTGACTCTTAGTGAATCTGGCCTTGCTGCCGGTGTCATTGCAATTGCCATTCTGGACGGTAAGCTGTTGATAGCGCTTCCTGAAGCAGTTTGGAGCAGGACTCCCAATAGGCGATTGATTCCTTCCAGATCTCTTGGCAAGCCTGTCCTGATTGCCGTTGCTGCTAGTCACTACGAAGAGCGTGACCAGCCCCTTTCAGGTGTGTACTGCAAAGTATGGGTCGGCTTCGCCAGCAGGGAACTAGAGCAAGAGCTAGATTTTGTCAGCGAGGAGGTGCTTTCATACGACTTCAACCCAGAGGGCGAGATGGACCTTCTTCCTTCAGCCGGAGGTTTGGTGGAAGTGGCGAGGGAGCATTTTTCTTTTGTAACGGCAGATTCTGCAGTTCCAGAATGTCCGCCAGAGTCTCCTCGCAGGCAGGAAGACCGTTTGCAGTCCTTGGAAGCCAGTCTAGAGCAGATCCAGCAGAGTCTTTCAGTTTTGATGGGCCATTTGCAGCCCGAGAAGAAGGATTCAACAGCAGACAGGGTTCGTTCTCTGACAGCCACCCCAAAAGTGTCAGCTTCAGTGAAGAAATCAAAGAGGGGCAGCCTAGACCATGCCGAAGTGCCGGGCCTAGACAGAGAGGCGGTGCAAGCCGCCCTTGCAGCAGGAGTCCCTCTGAAGCATCTTCAAGAAGTTGGCGCTGTTTTGAGTGGAAAGCCCAAGCGCCTGGACGAACTCCCTCGGAAGAAGCTCACAAGGCGAAATCACAGTGGCCCCTTGAGCGAAAGCGAGGAGGAGAGCGAAGAGCTGGAGCCCGACCCCGTGCAAGGCGGAGATGGTTCTCAAGTTGGCGGAGGGAATGGCAAGCAGATGGAACAGGCTGTGCTCCACCTTGCATCCATAGCAAAACACCTTGCAGCTCCGAAGGAGAAGAAAGACCGCATCGAAACACTGCTGGACGGAGGAGGTGGTTTAGCGCAGACTTCAGAAAGCAGCTCGAGTCAAGGGAGTCGGAAGAATTCTGTGGCAATGCGGGCTTTGCAACGGTGTTTGGTGGAGGACCCAAAGTACATCTATCAGGCCTTGGAAGCCAACCTGCAGAGCGATTTTTCAGCCAGACCGATTCAACCTGGGGAACCTATGAGCAGTGGGACCACTGTAAGAGGCTGGTTAGCCGCGAGATCCCGGGTTCAAAACTATACAAATCATGTGAGATGGTGCTGGCAAACTGCAGGGATTTGGGACGCTCTCATTGCCGGCCGCCACGACGAAGCTCGTGCGCGGTGCGGCCTCCTCTTGGCTTCAGCCGAACAGGCTTCGATCGATGGCGGAAGCTGGATCGTTTCGAATGTGGCCTTATTGGAGCAACCACCGCCGTATCAGGCTTTTGCCAGCCACCAGGCGCCAACGAGTGCCGAACTCCAGCACTCGACCTTGTTCGATCCGAGATGGGCGGAGATCTTCTTGGGCCATCTGAAGGAGGTGGACAGCTTTGTGGAAGCAAAGAAGAAGCTGGGAAATTCCAAGACTCCCAGCAAAGACTCCAGCGAAGATGGAACGAGGAGGAACCCCCATGCGAAGCCCAAAGCGAAAGCCAAAGGCGAGAAGGAGGAGAAGAACAAGAAAGGCCCAGCCACTCCGGAAGGGGGGGCGCAGGCTTCAGGATGAAAACACCTCAATTTGGCTCTGGAGGCAAGACCGGGCTTCCTGAGCCTCAGTTCCATAGCCGGTCGCGACCAACAAAGGTCCCAGGAGCCTCAGCTTCGACCTACAGTGGGTCCAGCATTTTTCAGAGCCTCCTTCGCCACCTGCTGAGTTCGAAGAGCCGACTTGGCGGTTTTGCACGTAGTTTTGTCACCTGGCATTTAGCCCATCGAATTTCTGATGGTACAGCTTCCTTTGAGCTCTTCCCCTTGCCTTGCCCGTATCCCGAAGTGTTTTGGCGAAAATCTGCAGAGGAGGACAAGAGGTTATCTCTTAAGAAAGGTGTGGTCGCAGCCATCATCATTCTGAATTATCTCCACTACAACAGACCCAAAGCTTGGGATGATGGGATGAAGACAAAACGGCAGCTTACAAAGAAGCAGTGGGAAGCTGTCAGACGGCTTGAGTTCTTTATGGAGGCTTGGACCGAATTCAATTTAGTCACACCTGAAGTGATGGGGAGGACAGCTGGTAAAGTAGAATCTTTGGAAGGCGTACTCTCTGAGCTGGAAAGGTGTGCAGCTCCTTTAGCGAAGTCTGGAGGGGGCTATTTCAATGCCACAAGCGTCCAGAGGAATGTGCCTCTTGTTTCAGGTACTTCACAAGGTCCAGAGCTTAGCAACAGTGGTATGACCACGTTCAAGGAGGTGGCTGCAGACAGGCTCACTTTTGTGGGTCGACCCAGTTTTGATCCGACACCATTTTTGGATCCTCTCAGCAAAAAGATCTTCAATGACCCAATGAGCTGTCGGCTTGACCCTAGTGAGTGCAAAGTGAAGCAACCTCGTCTTCGAGTCCATTGTAGCCGGCAGGAAAAGATTAAACTGTTTGAGCTGCTGGACGCGAGCGATCGGCTTAGGATTCATCTCCCCTCTGAAGTCACACCTTCTTTTGGCTCTGGTTTGTTTTCGGTAACGAAAGATCTGGCCCGTGACCGCCTCATCTTAGATTCCCGAGGGGCGAATTTGCTGGAGAGTCCCCCCCAACGTTGGATCAAGAGCTTAGCATCAGCCGAAAGTTTGACTCGACTTGTGTTGGAGGAGGACGAGGACTTAGTGTGCTCTGGCAATGATTTGCGAGATTTCTATTACTTATTTCAAGCCAGCAGTTCGAGGTCAAGAAGGAATGTTTTAGTTGGTGCGATGAATCCCAAAGAGCTCCAGCACTTGCATGCCCTGAAGCAGGAGCACTTGTCCAGCCCAGTGGTTTTTGGTGCGCTGGGCACTTTGGCAATGGGAGATTGCCAGGCTGTCGAGCTGGCCCAGAGTTGTCATTTGGGCCTCGGTCTCCAGCGTGACATCATCACTGCAGACAACCTTTGCACCATGTATAAGCCGCTGCCACGTGAGCGAACTATGTGTGGTCTTGTCATAGATGATTTTATCACCATGAGCAAGGTCTGTAACCGCCACAGCGCTGGGGGGTGGAGTGATGGTGCGAAGCTTGCTGAAAAGATGCAGGACGTTTATGAAGAGGTCAAGCTCATCCCCAACAAAGCAAAAGGTTTTAGAGATGAACTTTGCAGCAGCTTTTGGGGGGTGGATTTGGATGGCAAAAGGGCCCTGCTACGAGGCTCCTTGAAGCGGGCGATCCCCCTTGCTGGCCTCATCCTCAAGCTAGTCTCAGTTGGGCACGCTACAGCGGATCTCATGCAGATCATTGTGGGGTCAATTATTTCTCTGTTCCTTTACAGAAGACGGCTGCTCTCTCTTTTGGACTCGTTGTTCAAGTGCTGCAGGCGTGCTGATGGAAAGGAGGTTTTCAAGTTGGATGGGAGAACTACCAGCGATTTGCTGATTTTAGCTGTACTCCTTCCGCTGGCCGTCACGAATTTGAGGGCACAGTGCCCTGTAGTAGTGGCTGCTACAGATGCTTCCAATTGGGGTGAGGCTGCAGTTTTTGCAAGAGTACCGTTGGGGGTTGGGAAAGAACTGATCAGACACTCTTTGCGCAAGTCAGTTTGGTCAAAACTTTTAGCACCCAGTTCTGCGCTCTTGCGAAGCCATGGCATGCTGCCGGAGAGTGAAGAGCTCCCCGAGCCTACTGACTGTTTCCAGTCCAATGCCCTGTGGTCCATGCTCGCCCAACGACTTAACTACAAATTGCTGTTTGCAAAACAGAAGAGTGGACTCCGCCACATCAATGTCGGTGAACTCCGAGCAGGGCTTAAAACCGAGAAGATCTTGGGACACCGGCGGCCTTCCAGCCGGGTCCTGCTTGGAATGGACTCACAGGTGGCACTAGGATCCTTGGTCAAAGGAAGATCCTCCTCGGCAGCTTTGAATGCTGAGCTGGCGCGTTCTATCCCTCTGATGCTTTTGCAAGACACCTATTTTGAGGGCATGTACTTCAACACAGCTGAGAACAGAGCAGATCAGCCCACAAGGGGAAAAGAGATCGAACCCCCTGTAGCGCCACTCCCTGAATGGTGGGACTCCTTAGCTCGTGAAGAATACCAGAGCTTTGACCGGTGGCTTTTTGAGCAGGGACTTGACGCCGAGACCTTGTCGGGCCTCCCTCCGCTGGATGAACTTTGTGGCAACGTTTCACCTCAAGGCATTTTGCCTAAGTATTTGCGGAATGAACTTTTATGCAGCAGCAGTCAAGAAGATGAAAGAAGCCTACGAGGTGGGGACCTGGGTTTGCCGAGCTCTTCATCGTCGGCGCAGCCGCTGCGGCGGACTGCGAATTACGGTCGGCCCAGCCCTCACCTCGATGCTTCTAATGAGAGTTTTTGTTCTCAGCCTCCAGCCTCACCTGAGCCATCTGCTCCAGAGGCGACTGGCCTTGATCCTAGGAGCCATGAGGTTCAACATGCTCCAAAAGTTCAGGAAAAGAAACGGTCTCTGCGGGTGCTGCCGCCTCGACTTAGCAGCGAGGCGATCGCAGCCCTTTCCACTTTCCCTCGAGATCAGTTTGAGCTAGGGAATGGGGTCCAATGGCCTCCGCAACATGCCGGTTTCCTTGATTTATTTTCTGGAAAGCGAGGTGTGGCAAAGCAACTTTCAAAGCTCAGCAGCTCCTGGAGCCTTTGTTTTGATTTAGCCGATAGCCCTTCGCAAGATCTGAGTGATCCAAAGCTGCGTAGCCGCATTGAAGAGCTGATCAGGTTGGGTTGCTTTTTAGGGATTGGCGGAGGACCTGTGTGTGCTTCTTTTTCAATGGCAGTGAGACCAGCAGTCCGTAGCGCTTCTCATCCCTATGGCGTTCCAGATATGAGCGATAAGATGAGGCCCAAGGTTTTAGCAGGAAATGACATGGCGCTTTGGGTCTTCAAACTTCTGGACTTAGCGCTGGGACTTCAGCTTGCTGTTTGGCTTGAAAACCCTAATGCATCCTGGATGTTTCGCCTTCCTGCCTGGCTCAAGCTACTCGAGAAGTGGAAAGCAGAACTAGGACACTGGACAGTGGATTACTGCCGTTTCAAAACGCCCTGGAGAAAGAGGACAAAAGTTTTTTCGAATACTCTGCTGCGTGGTCATCGGACTTTGTGTGCTGGCGGGCATGAACATCAGCTACTGAAGGGGTACTCCAAAAAGTTTAGGAAGTCCTGGACAAAGGTCGCAGAGCCCTACCCTGATGGAGTTGCAAATGCGGTGGCGATCGCCTTGGCGATGTTTGCTGATTTAGTGGACAGCTCTGGTGTTTTTGACCCCGCTAACTGCTCTCGCACTGGTCACATGCGAATTGGCGAGGCGAAGAATCCAGGACCCCGACCTCCCAGGACTCAGGGTCGTGTAGGACTGTTAGAAGCTGTTCCTTTAGTTGAGCCACGAACTCTTGCACTTCAAAGTAAGATCTGGGAAGGGTTTCTAGGGTGGTTAGCTTTGTCACTGAGCCCCGGCGCGATAGACTCAGCCATGGCGCAGCCTCACCTGTTGGTTTTACTGGCGAAACAGTATGGAAATTTTCTATATTCCTCTGGCAAGTCCCTCTTTGTGTACCGCCATTTTCTGGTTTTCTTGCAACAAAGCTTTGTGACCGTAAAGCCCTACATGAGCGATTGCTGGGGGTTGGTCACTAGATGGGAAGTCATGGAACCAACCGTGCACCGAGTGCCGTTGCCCTGGGCGATTTACAGAGCCATGCTGACCATTTCCATTGGGTGGGGCTGGTTTCGCTTTGCTGCCATGCTCCTTCTTGCATTCTTAGGTATTTCTAGGCCTGGTGAACCTTTAGCAGCTTTTCGGAGCGAATTGGTGTTGCCGAAAGATATGCTGGATGAGACTCAGCAAGTTGCCTATCTCAAGATCCTTAAGCCGAAGACGAGACGGCGAGGGAAAGGGGTGGTTCAACATATTTCGGTACAAGACCCTGAAGCCATTTCTTTTCTGGATAAGCTGTATGGAGGTCGGCCAAAGACCGAGCGCTTGTTTGAATGCTCGCCCAGTGCCTTTCGGCGACGCTGGGACTCCATCCTTCGCGCTCTGTCAGTGCCTAAGAGTGCAGGATTGACGCCAGGCGGTGTCAGAGGGGGCGGCTGTGTGTACGCTTTTCAAACTGGAACTGATCTCCCGCGATTACTTTGGAAGATGCGTATCAAGCACCTGCAGACCCTAGAAAGTTACCTACAGGAATGTGCCGCTTCAACAGTAGTTTGTGAACTGCCAGCCGAAGCCCGAGAAAGAATCCGCTCGGCATCCTTGCTAGCTCCTTTTCTTCTAGCTGGAAGCCTAAAGACCTGATGCGCAAACCTGGAGTCCATACACAAGTACTATTGCTTGCTTTTTGGTTAGCCATGCGCAGGCATACACCTTGGGCTGGCTCTGATAGTTGGAGTTGGACTGGAGCGAGATTGTGATGGATTCGACAAACTGCAGCCTTCTTTTGAGATTTCATCCATGTGCTGCCCTTTGACCACCATCCACTTCACTTCCAGCTGCAACACTAGACTCAAAGAGCCAGGTGACAAAAGGAATCTTTTGCGTGCAGCAGAGGGGGAAGTGGCATCCAAACATGTTCCCATGTTTTGCTGCCAGTGTACCTGCCGCAGCTTCGAACTCCCATGCCACGGGCACCCTGCCCACCCCTTGCTGCGGAGTTGGACTGGAGCGAGATTGTGATGGATTCGACAAACTGCAGCCTTCTTTTGAGATTTCATCCATGTGCTGCCCTTTGACCACCATCCACTTCACTTCCAGCTGCAACACTAGACTCAAAGAGCCAGGTGACAAAAGGAATCTTTTGCGTGCAGCAGAGGGGGAAGTGGCATCCAAACAT